AAAAGCTTGTTTTTTTTTTTTCATAGCTGCTGGAAGTGGAAAAAATGTGTTGTGACAAGCGGGATTAAGGATTTTAACGCAGATTCTAACAAGACTTTTTTCTTTACCTGTTTCTCGAGATAATCCATCAATTTTGACACTTCTGAATATTGATCGAAGAATTATTCGGTATTGGCATGTTATTACCGTTTGCGCCGTAAAGTTAAAAACTAAGAAAAAAAAACGTATTATGAACATCCTGCTAACACGATAAGGGAGACAGACATTTTGAGCAATTTTTAAGTAACGGTATATGTCGGGCTATTCATTTGTAAAACACAATTTAATGAATAAAAAATATATGTATTTTTTATTCATTATTAAAAATACATGTATTTTTTATTCATTATTAAAAATACATGCATTTTTTATTCATTATTATTCATTCAATCCGAGGTTGCGGCAGCTGTATCCCAGAAACTAAACGTTTAAGGACGTATATTTATTAAGACATTTTTACTTATTTTTTATGTAGAATCTTTCTCGTTAGTTTGTGAGTGGGGTCCAGATATACTCTGTATGCGTCATTCTTGTGCGAGGACGGTGAAAATAAATGTTTATTTAAAAGTTAGCGTAGAAGTTCGACAAATAATAGAGACTTGGCGTGGTGTGTCGGGCCGGCAACGAACGCGCACGACGGAGGGTTCGCGAAGGCACGCGCTGAAGATACGCATCGAAGATCTTACGGCCACGTGCACGCGCGCACGCGTTAATCGTTTGTACAACGAAACATTATCGACAGCCAGGTGGGAGAGGACGGTAACATCCACCGTGTTTGCGCGGGGAATTAACGCTGACGATTATCGTCGCGTTTCGCGATGCGATTTTGTGATGCGCTTAACCCACGTGCGCACAATGTACGACGCGAGGTTGCCACCTGAGAATATTCCGATACCTCAACCGCAGGCCATCGTACGCTGAGGCGCACCGAGAGCGTCTATTTTGTTTCTTTTCCGTCGATCGGATCGACGGAAAGTTTTGGTGAACTAAAAGTCGACGATGCGACAGCACAGTAAACTTACGTTCATCGCGATTTCATCATTCGTCGCTTTTACGCAACGGACACAAGCGTGTCAAGCGCCTGTGCGTCGTGACATTGTCGTGTTCGGTGTTCAAATCGTTTCCGCGGCGCGCGACTCGCGCGGAATCTCGTGCGTGTGACTTCGTAATTGCTGATTGGACAGAACAAATGTCACTTGCGCGACTAATCGCGCGAGTCAACACGCGAAATTCGTAGTGATGTTTGCGAAACATTCAAAACTGATTCTTTTATTATTAGACGCAACTTAAATTCCCTCGTTTCCCTTCGATGGCGGATCACCGAGGGAAAGGTCATTATTGAATAAAGGTTACGGCGAAACTACAAAAGTAGCGACCTTGAATCCTTCGCTGAAATCTCTGCGAGTTTATCGAGCAATAATTGTTATATATGCAAAAAATGATTGTCACGAATTATTTATAGTTACACGCATATATATAAATATAGATGCGAGTAACGTCATCGCGTAATCTCCTCCGAGTACGCAACGAAGCTTGTTAACACGTTGACCACCAAATACGGATTATCTCACAGCTCTCTGACGTGCGAGAAAAATTCTCCGCGATTCCGCCATACGTCAACCACGAGTTAACTCTCACTGGTTTCCAATGAATTTTTATCGCGAGTTTCGACGAATGATAAACATAATCAATCGGTGTATCAAGATAACACCGATTTTCGAAATGACGCCGGGAACAATGTCCCTTAACGTCACTCGGCGACAGTTAACGTTGTTGGTTTACTCACTGACGGCGTTATCGAGTATTTAAATGTGCCAGTAGGCGTAAGCTGTTGCACGGCGGAACAAAAAAAAAGAGAGATGTCAGCGCAATGTGAAATATGAGCATCTCTCAGTGTGTCATAAAGTAGTGACACGCAAGTACGGGGCCGTTTCATCCGTCCGTAAGTACATTCGTGTCGCGCTTTATGCAATTACGCAGCACCGATCGGGCAAACAAACCGCGACACCTAAGTGATTCCGTTCGCTCGGAGTGACTACCGTCACAGTTTCGACACCTCGCGGTCCTTATACCCCCCCTGGACGTCCGGCTCCGTTTTGAGTCCGATTGCCACACGCTGTCGTTAGAAAACGTATCAACGAAACAACAACAATGGGAACCAGGTCGATCATCCGTTTGCCATGAAAAAAAGGAGAGGTCAACGACAGAGACGCGAAGATCACGCACGATCGCGAACTCGGCCGCGTTTCCCGCTCGTCGACGAAATCACCGACGACGAGTCGTTATCGTCGTCGCGAAGCAAAATGAGAAATAATCGCGAAGACGATAATTGAGGTAGCTGGTTCGTAAATTTATTTTCTTAGGAATCACCTCAAATTTTAGCAATACATTAATCGAAATAGGATCCGCATTTATGTGAAATTGGGAAAGGATTGACCGTATCGAAGATGAGAGAAGTAGCGGAAATATTACGAAAAATTGCAAGATCGTTGACTGTCTAGTTTCCCATAAATTGCTGTAAAGTACACTCAATTTCTGTGACAACTCAATTTTTCTGACAACAGTGTATGACAACTAACCTTTAAAGATTTGGCAAATATTGTACATGCATTCCCCTTTGTGTCTTTTGGCTAGGCATCTTTTTCAAGATAGAATAATATCGAATAATTTTAAAGATTTCTACATTGCGAAACCCATTTGGTCGAATCAACTAAATTCTTGTTTGACTATGGGCAAGCAAATATTTTGGTTGTAATAACCAAAGCTTGATCGTTTAAACCGAAGATTTGGTTCTCCGAAGTTGCAGAGGTTCGAAGAACCAAACTTTTAATTCAGAGAACTAAATCTTGGTTTTTATAATAAAAAATTTGTTTGCCCATAATCAAATAAGAATGTAGTTGATTCAACTAAATGAGTTTCTCAGTGTAATTAATACGAAAAAATGCGAGAAATACCGAAAAATACGTCGAAAAATCCGACGTCGCGATCATTTCTCTGGTGGAGTACATTCGTGTGCGTCTATCGTTATATATGATGTATTCGCAAACATACGCCTAGCACGGGCAATCCCAGCCAAAATTATTGCACGTCAAAGCGCGAAAAACGATCATTTTTGTATAACTTTTTGAACATTGCTCGCGTTGAGTAAAAGAAGCTGCTCAATGAGCGCTTTATTGCTTCTTATTGGTACATTCTACTAGATTTATAGGAGATCTAAAAGTATATTCCAATCATATATAATAATCACAAAGCGCTCAATAAGCTGCTTTTTCTCGTCGAACGCAGGCATTGTGTAAATTTGATTGATATAACCTCTTATTATGGAGTCAAAGTTGCGTATTATATATCATATTTACATACATTTGGCACAGATTTGTCGAATTTCTTCACGCTGTATTAACCATTAACCTTTGCAAGAATATTGTCACGGACCAGCTGCTTTAAATAAGTGTCGGTGGAGGAGCGTGCGCGTTTAAAGAATCGCGAGACGAGAAGTGTCGTGTCGTTGGCAGCGCGTCGCCGACTCGCCTTTAATCGATGCAGAATTTATGCGCTCATGGCGCAACTGCGATAACCGTACAACACAGTATGGCTGCACTTTCTACGACGGGGCGTCGACGCGCGTGTCGACTGCGCTTTTGAAATCGGTTTACATCCGCGCCGGAGAACCGTCGCAACGGTTGACGACGTCACGTCCGTGCGAAAGATTACGCCCAGGATTACCTGCGAATTTTACCAGATACACGACGGGACATTAATCAGTTTTTTTTCTGCAGTCGAAAGAAAAGAAAAAAACAAGCAGGTAGTGGTTTTTACGTTTTCTCTTTCCGCATCTGCACAAAATTAATAATCTGCCTATGATATTGCACATGTATCGGCGACGATGTTGCAACTTGCTTCGTAAAATAAACCTCGACGCTCGATTGCCGATTCCTCACCTTGGACTTTCGTGTGATATATTGACGTGAATGCATCACATCGACGATGTATCGCACCACGGAAGGTTTCCGGCTGAATGATGATCTCATACATGTTATTAAATTGTGCCTTTTTTAATCGACTTAGTATCACATGATGATGATCGTGACTATGTATAATACCGGTTCAATGACAATCCAAGAATTCCCCGGTATAAAAAAACGGACATACTGACCTTTTGCTGAATCCTATAACAAGTTTTAAAATGTCCTTCGGCAGATCAATGACCTTACATTTCTTTCGGCTCGGTTCAACCTCACCTCGCCTTCTCGTCTGTGAAACGATGTGTAATTCCCCAATTTTTTTTCCTTTTTAAAGTCCAATTTGCTGGCTACATATGTGCAAAAGAGAAAGGAGGGAAGGGAGAGAGGTGTGGGTGTGCGGGCTTCAAAAGGATAAACTGATGTGAAAAATTTTATGTCCATTCCACAAATGGGAGAATATTGACTAATAACGAGACTTATGCAACGGACGTAGACCTTAGCCGAAAATGTTGCATCCGCCTGTTCGTAAATCACCCAGCGATCGAGCGTGACCCTGAGTCGAACACTTTTAACTCCACATTTAAATCTTCAAGGGGAAGAAAACGAAATTCCTACTTGTAGCATCAACAGACCTTTCAAGACTCAATGTAGAACTAAATAGACTTAATGTGCAGCTGAAATTTTGACTCGGGATTTCCTTGAATAATTCTCTTGTGTTGCCGTGTCAATGTCAACAAAGCGAGGCTCGTAAGACGTCGATAAAATTCCACGCTCGTCGCATTCGCACACAGCCCACGTAGCCATGCGATCCACGTGAGTCTCCGACGATGTACTAATTCGAGAAGGGCAGGATGAAAGTCCTTTCCCATATTCGCGAGTTTTACGCCGATCTCGATTTGGGGAGGACGAGGGGAAGGATACCACCCTCATCCAGGAAACTTAAAATTGCCGATATCAAAGACGTCTGAGAAGACTCTTGATTTTCTTTTCTCTTTCCAGAGGCCTTCTCCGAGGAGATCGACTTCGAGGCGCGCAAGTTATTGCAAATTCTCCCCGCGTACGATCCCGGCGCAGGACGCGTCAGCGCGGAATGCAAGCGACACTCCGATATCTTCCACGAGGAGCTCTCGAAGTTCACGTTGTGGGCTCTCAAAAGTAAGCTCGTCCTCCACTGTGTAATTAACCCTCTAACGACGAGGTGAATTTTCAACGTATCCAGGAAAGTGGAGTTAGACCGCATATTTTTCATGTAATTTTCCATGTACAAAATGAGTTAAAAAAGTAAATAATGGCTTGAAACATTTCTTAAGAAAAGAGATAGCGCTGTAAAATAAATGGGCGGTAGGGTCGCATCCGACCCTAGCCTTGTGGTTAGAGGGTTGAAGCACGGAAGCGTCCGAACTTGACTGTAAGCAAACTGCAATCCAAGATCGTCCTGAGAATCCTTTACCCGTAAGGATCCCGCACAGATCTAACTGTAAAATTGTCGTTTAGACGTCTTATTGCCTCAAAGACATCTTTATGACGTCTTAATGCCCTCTGGGATTGCGCAAGACTGGACTCGTTTACATGGACCGTCGAACGACCGGGGACAACCGAAAATCGAGAAGGGCTTTTGTACTCTCGGTGATCGTTCGTGAGTGGTCCGCGCAATTATATAAAATGTCACAAGTCGGCGAACATAAGAGCCCGCGATTTTATTCCGTACGCGACACGCGGCGTTTGGCAACGATCGTTTCGACAAATTAGCCGCCTCTCGATTTCTCTTCGTTCGGATTTACCTTGTAACGCCGATCTGCAGTTATCGAGGATTTCTTCGATGTTTGCACCCGCGAAAGAAATGCATTCGACCCACGTGCAACCCGCTTCATATTCTAGATTTAATAATAATCCCACACGCGTGCGTGTGTGAGAAGTGGTATAGAGAGGAAATTTACGGATGTGTTAAATCCCATCAGCCGAGGAGAGGAAAATCGGAGAACATTGGGACACAATTTTGGAACGCATTTTCAGTGCCCGATAGGAGAATTTGTTTCTTAGTAATTCTCAGGACGTACATTTTCCTATTGGATACGAGATGTCTTCCGAAACTCCAATCCAATAGAAAATGTACGTCCTGAGAATTACTAAGAAACAAATTCTCCTATTGGACACTGAGAATGTGTTCCAAAATTTATAAAAAAAAAAAAATTGCTACAATCTTTTTGTGATTGATCATATATCTTTTTGTGATTGATCATATATCGGTTGTCGCGCTATTGTCGCCACTATTCGTGTAAAGATTTGATCAGTTTCTCGGCGCATTTTCAGTGTACGACGCGACTGCGAAGGTGCCGTCCGGCCTCTTGAGCGGCAACGTTAATCAGTTCGGCGATTTCGACGAGTGCGTCGGTGTCGAGGGCAAGGATGGCATTCGAGGACAGTATTGCCTGGCGTACTTGAAGCTGGACGTCGACCAGTCCCGGCCCGATCTCAAGTACCTGCACCGCCTGTTACATTCGCATTACGCGTTCCGCAGCAACTTAACCGACGTGAGTACAATTGTGTATTTGACAGGGGACGCGCCGAAGCGTAAGAAGCGCGCGAACGCTTTCGCAATCTCGTCGCGATATTTCACATTCCCTGGCGAGACAATCGGGAGAAGGGGGAGGGGGGAGGGAGGGGACATGTAGGGAATATCGTGGTATAAATTACGGGGATTCCGATCTTATCCAGACGGTTCTCGCTACCGTCGCCGACATCGATCCCCGATCGACCCCGAGATACAGCAACGGGAGATTTTAAGCGACAATTTATCTCTCGTTTCACCAGAGCGCCACGGAACTGTAATATCTCGCGGAACACGCGCGAGTACGTTCCGCGCTGTAATGCCGTTTTATTTTCGGATGACGGGGGACGAAACAACGGCGGGAGGGGATAAAAGTCATTAATACGTTCGCGCACGTGTACCGTCCGCACGTGTGTCGCGCGCCCGTATATATAAGGTGTTCTAGAATTATCGCCTGTAATCCCCGGTACGAAACAAAGCATCCTTTTGTTCGCGGAAATTCCATTCAAATGGTAGTTTTTAAATGAGGGCTGTTTAAAGTTATCGAATTAGCTGTGTTAAGTTGCGCGCGAGTCAGGAGCAGCGGGCAGCGTGCGTATTAATATAATTAACCAACAAGCGTAATAACATATGCAAGTGACATAAATAATTTCTCGTACGATGTATCGTGTATTCCAACGTTTTAGAAATATTTGTGACACTCCATCGTAACGCTTAAATAACGCGGGAAAGAGATAAAATTATTAGGTGGAGCTCAATTATGTTGAAACAATATTGCGAAATACCTAAAAGACGATCATGAAAAATGATAATTGTGAATGCTTTCGATCATCTTTTACTTCACGTTCGCGTTAGAAGCGTCACGATGGAGTACAAGAGGAAAATATTGCGACATGATTCTGACTCCTGATCAGAGTGTAGCAATCACGCCGCAAGTTGCTTCGTTTGGTACCAGGAATCTTTCGGGTACTCCACATGCGTTAATTCTGGGACACTCTGTGGATACACGTAGTGTGCACATATTTGATATTTTACATTTTGTGGCGGTGCGCGCGACAACGGTACGCGTTTCAATGAAACTCACGAATATGATGTGAAGTTACTCAATTTCAGGAATTAGGTATATCCCATTCGGATATATTTGATCAGTGGAGATACAGTCCCTGGCTATATCGTTAGACGCACTTTGATTTTTCAATATAATACAGATTAGGAGGAGAAGAAAACTACTGATTTTATCTTTACTCGATTAGAGTAATTTTCTGTGGCGATCTGCGCTTTTACCTTTGTAACCTTCTGAGGTGTCAAATCACTCGTTTCAACCCATAATTTTTGTAAACAATAATATCTTTCACAGAAAAATAGATTTTCCCGTTAATGAGCAAGGAATTTGAGGTTTCAGGTCGCAAATAAACAAAAATAAAACGAAATTTCAATCGACACTCACACACGCAAAACTCACGTCTGTCCTCATTATTATCAAGAATGCAACTATCGCAGATTCATACTTGTTCAAGGTCATTGTGTAACAGCCAAGTGAAATGACGTCATAAAAAATACCTCTTACAGAATAATGATTCCTTAACATAATTCGATCGATAGATGAGCCGTATAAAGCTGGTCCTCGGAAGTCAATGAATTGAGTAAAAAATTAAGGTGCTTCTAATAATAATGAACAGGGACTGTATGGTCCCTGCCGGATAAGTCCGGCTGATACTTCGCGAGAAAATTCGCACAGATGAACTGCGCAACATAAAAGATCAATTGCGCCCGATTTCGAGAACCCGTGAACGTCTGTATCTGTCAGCGTGGAAAGTATAGTCGAATCATTTCTCGCTGCCATAATGTTCGCGACATTCTAATAACCCGGTCTGTACAGGCATCACTTAACATTAATCTGTGAATGAATATGTAGTAGACATATAAATCTACGCCGCAGAATTTATGTAAATCGAAGGACAGCCGCAAATGGGATGCGCGAGTCGGACGAGAGAAACGAGGAAAAGCAAAGGAGAAGAAGATGGGCGCTCCCTCGGCACTCCTTTGTTACGATCGCGAGGCGCGCGCGTGACGCGAGATGAATTTCAACGGGACGAAAACAGTGGAACTACGTAAACGGCCGCTCGAGGGACGAAAAAATTTCTCGCCAAGGCTGCAGGAAATGGTCGGTTGCTGAAGTTCGAATTGAGAGAGGTCGATTACATCGGTATTCTGCGGAATACGAATATATTCGCAATCATGGGAACCCCATAGCGCGCTTGGCTCGATGGCGAGCGGATTCGCGCGTATGATGACACAACGTACGATGAATTCTTAATTGAGATATCCGTAAACACGTGCGATTTAGCGTGCAGAAATAACGCGAGACGCGAGATCACGTGAGCCGAGTCAGGAAATCGTCGTCCCGTCTCAACGTTGATATTAAGGATTCACGAGATTCAAATTGCTAATAATAACCGGCTGCGATTGTCATGCGATGTAGCGTTATGTCTATAAGGAGCTAGCTATAGAATGCTGAGTATCGCGTAATGCCTCAATGCTAACACCGATTGTTCATTGTGATTAATGCCACCAGGCAAGACAGAAATAGCATCAATTATTGTTGCTTAACGACGAGATCGACGAGGGGCATCTCAATTATCCCACGAATTAAATTGCTCGTTTCACCTTTAACCGGGATTTCACGAACGTGATTTATGGAGTGTCTCGTTTCGCTCTCTCAATCGAACGCTTTAACAGACTTCCGCGAAATATATCCTCGAGGACACATAGGTGATTAACGCGTTGAAATTCTCGCTGTTGCGTGCGAGAATCGACTATAAAATCACAGGAAAGACTGTGTATCCCGTGTGTCATCATTGTCTAACGTAGCGCAAAATTACGTCGTATATGTGCATTGAAAAATGAATTTGCTTAGATCTGCTTGACAACCAAACGCATTTTGGCGAAAGAAAACAAAATTTCTGGTTCTCACACGGTAAAAAATTCCGTGTTTAAAACAGTGCACTGAAAATTTGTGCACTTTAACATGGCAAATATATTGAAAAGTATACAAATATTTGCTAAAAATACACATATTAACAAGATGAAGTGTTAACATTATATTTGTGTACTTTCTCACATATTCCTCGTATTAAAACAACACAAAATCTGAACGGTGAACCGTTTTTAACACAACGTTTTTTTACTGCACCGAGAAAAAGATTTCTTCAAATTTAGTAGATTTTATCGCATCCAAACAAATTTCGTCATTGGCATGCTCCGAAGAAATTAATGTTTCGATTAATAAGTATGATTGTTTTCAACATTTGGCTTTTCAACGAATATATAATATAATATATATCTTTATCTTAAATAACAGAATTGTTTGAAACGAAAGACAATTTTTTTATAAAGAAATTATTTGTTTCATTTCATATATTTATTGTGACCAAATAATATTTTATTTGATTAAAAGATATTATTTTAAATAATAGCGTTCTTAATAGAATTTTCTTGAATGAGACAATAACATTTTTACTCAAAATAATATTTTATATATATTGTTTCTACGAAATAAATTTTAGTCGAATAAATAGAAATACTGAATCTAAAGAAACCCTTTTCTATGTGTGTGTGCATAAGTCAACTTTGGTTCTTACGGTCAGAAATTCTTTTTCCCTCGACGCGTTTCTCTCGTCCGTTGTCAGGCATATCCGACCAAATTCATTTTTCATAGTCTGTGGAACTTTGTATGTAAAAAATTGTTTGATCTTTGTCTCACAGGAAGGTCACAGAGTACCGCGTTTTAGCACGATCAACTGGGCCGTATGCACGCCCGCGTCGTGCACAACCGAAGATGTGAAGAACTCTCTTCAGCATACTATTGAGAAGTACACGGCTCAAACGGGCTTCAAGATTACGTTGCGAGTGGAAAAAAACATGTGCCAAGTGAAGAAAGAACTTGTCCTACCAAAAGCAACCATCGCCGTCAGGTGTGAGAGAGAGAGAGAGAGAGAGAGAGAGACTCGCGATCGGGAGTGTTTGCTTGAATCGCGTTGAGTACTTTGCATCAGTGCGCACACACAAACTTTGTAAAAAGCGTGTGAATTAAAATACCGATGGACGGAAGCCCGTTCGAATGCACTTATGCATGCGTACGTGAATGTTCGTTTCACTGGTCTTTTTAAGGGAACCCCACGTTTAGAAACTTTGCTGATCAAAAACAGTAATCTTTTTACAAAGTTTACGTCGTATCGGCTGCGCAGAATTATAAATGCTCTTTTCAAAAGTACGCGCGAAAATGAACTGGGAGCATTGCTTGATGTGTGAAGAAAATTATGAAAAACTTCAAAATTGACGTCTCTAGCTGTCAGTTAGTGTAAATGTTTACCTGATACAGAAATCTTGCAGCTCGTATATATCGAATGCGTCAATATTTCAATCAAAAAAATTTCAAACGATATTTCCATACCTATTCAATTTAAATTCAATTAAAATTCCTACAAATTCCTATAAATTCAATTCAATTTAAAAGCCTAAAGAGATATGACAAATTTGCAGAGACATTTTAACATATCTTAGCATATCTTAACGAAATTTTTCGTTAAATATGACAGAGTAGCGCGCACATTCATCGAATTTACATTTATATCGCACACTTACATTTACATAAGATCCATGTAATGGAAAAAAAGTAGCGTGATCGTATGAATGTTTATGTAAGATAACACGTTGAGAGAATCGCCTCTACATTGTCGACGCTTATTGAGTTCGTTATCGATTTTAGCATCTCCGCTTGATACGCTTCTTTTTTTCGAGACATTCTGAATGTTCCAACTTCCGGAGAAAATAATTTTGTTCCTTCGATCGGGAGAGAAGATCTCGATTCGTCGGTGTTCTTCTAAATCAAAACGTTCGCTTTTCAGCCTTCTCATCGCCACTGTGTTCATCCTGACTCTCGTCGCCGTTTACTACGATCACTACGAATTACCGGCCAGCGAGTTGCTCTTATCGTTCTCGTTGAAACGCAACGTTCGGAAATTGACCTCGCTGGAGAGACCGCAGGGCGACATCGCGTCGCTGCACGCCATCCGATTTTTCAATAGCATTATGCTAATTGTGTCCCACAAGAGTATGGCGATGTTCTACGATCCTTATATAAACCGGACTTACATGACCGAGGTATGTTGTTATACAACACATAGCGGTACGCAATGGAGAATTTGTATTTTGCTCTCGTCTCACCTGCGGCGAACGCGCAGGTTGTTTCAATTTCGAAAGTGAATTACGCGCTCGAACGCAGATTTTAGGTAAATCGTGGACCGTAATCGCGAGAGCGGCCAGTCTCTACACCGACCCGTTCATCATGCTGTCCGGCCTCTTAACCGCCTACTCGTTCGTAGGCCGGCTGAAAAGAACGGGATCTCTGGACGTCAAGCGCGAGTACTTCTCGCGCTTGCTGAGGTAACGATATCAGGTTCAAGGATATGCGCTGGATAGGGGATGAGAACGATCTTTTCTCAATGAATAACGCGCCCTCTTGCAGGATAGTACCGACCCTAGGAGCATTGGTGTTATTCTGCACCCACGTGTTGCCGTACCTAAGTTCCGGTCCGCAGTGGAACCTGGTGGTGAACCATCACGCGGACATTTGCAAGAAGACGTGGTGGCGGAATTTCCTGTTTATCCATAACTACTTCGGGTTCGAAAATATGGTGAGCACCGTCCACGAAGAACGCGAAACGCGATCGGAAGGAAACATCTCCGATTATCCGGAGATCGTAGGATTACCACAAGATCTTTCTCGGAGACGCTCGCGAGTGCAAAAATATAAAAGTGACATTCGAAAATATCGAATCGACTGTCCCCTTTCGTGAGTAACCGTCGTCCTTTCGCATTTTCAGTGCCTCACACATACGCATCACGTGGGCATAGACATGCAGCTGTTTCTAGTATCGCCCCTGATGGTGTTGCTGCTGTATAAAAGGCCGAAGATCGGCGCGTTGGTGCTCGCAATGGTAGCCTCGGTATCGACAATATTGAGATTTTACGCCATGTACAGCAGACACCTGAGCAATTACATATACTTCGGCACGTCGTAAGTACTCACGCGGTGTAAGGAAACGCGCGACGAATTGCGTCGAATAGAGAAAACGTAATCGTAGAAGACGTTCATTGGCATCATTCTATTTGTTTCTTTTCTAATCTTCTAATTCTTTCTTAGACATAGTGACGTCGAAACTTTCCGATCAAACGCATTATTTCTGAATATTTATGCATCACGATTGCCGCTTTGGAGCATCGTTGTCGATCCATCAAACAGCAATCAACGGTCTTAATATATGAATATTCATATATGATGCGGCTGATTGGAAATTTTCGATCATTTTCATCATGCTTATATTAGTGAGAAATATTTCGTATTTCTGTTGAAATCGGTCCTTGTTAACATTTTCGTGTTAAATTTTTAATATTCCCATGTGTTTATTTAACATACCGCTCGCTTATGTTATCTCAATATCTCGTATTGAGTCGATATTCAATATGTGCAAGTGTTAAAATAACACATTTTATTTAGTGACGATTAACTAATTAAATTATGGATATTAATTTCGTGTTAATTGTTGACGTAATATTTGCCTTACTTTATAACATACACACCTTGTGTTAAATTAACCACCGAAATTCGTGCGGACTGTTTGGGACACGTGAAATGTGTTAAATTTAACACCAAACTTTTTACTGTGTAAACAATGGAACTGTATTTTGATGGAATCTTCTATACTTTCCTATCTTCACATTTCAGGATCAGAGAATTGTTCGACACTGCCAATTACTCCTACACGTTACCGTCGCACCGACTGACCGTTTACATCATAGGCATTTTCACGGGTTATTTATTGAGGAACTTACCGAAGGACTTCAAGATGAGCTCGGTGAGTAGTCGTAACTATCGCGTCGATTGATCCACGTACGACCCTATGTCGTCCGTGCCTCTCACGAGTCCTGATGCTTTCAGGCGACTCTCTACACAGGCTGGACCGTGTCCACCATGTTGGTTGTGGTGACTTTCGCCTGGTCCTCGAGAATGGGATTAATAGATTACGCGTACAATCCAATCGACGCGGCTATCTACAACGCGTTCGCTCCCATCGGCTGGTGCATCTTCTTCCTGTGGGTTATCGTAACACACCATACCAGCAATTCGAGTGGTAATACTTCGTAGAGGCGCATAAAATAATCAAATTGATTGAAGTTCGTAACAATTACCCGATAATAACACGACGCCCCGTATGTGCCGACGTAGGTTTCTTGAACAGACTCTTGTCCTGGCGAGGCTTTCTCGTTACCACGAGGCTCAGTTACGCGATCTACCTGACGCAATTCCCGATATTCTTCTTCAACGTTGGACGAACGCGCGCTGCGATGCAATTCGAAGTCGTCGGGAGTACGGTGAGTCGTCGTCCATGCGCTATATTATATCCGTTGAACTGAACATCGACATAAATATATATACGATTAAACGCAACTGCGTTCGTCGTTTTAATATCGTTTTCTTAATCTTATCGGTACAGTCTTGTCGTGATTGATTACAGATGAATTTGAAAGAAATACTGTGGATCGTTATCATGTCGGTGATTCTCACGTTGCTATTCGACACGCCGTTCCAGAACTTAAAGAATTATCTACTGAGAAAGCCAGTACAAAAGAACGCGGAAGCAAAGTCATTGAAAGCGGAGTGATGCTGGTTCGAGTCGAAATTTTCGACCTGAATGTTTCTCACCAAATATCTTAATTCGACTGCGACGGCTCAGAGCAGTGCTCGGAATTGGTTGCGCATTACAGATTTTTCGACCTCCTCTGGTGTCTCCTTCTTGCCGTTTACGACAGCAGCGAACCGCTCGATACTCGTGACGTTAGAATTAATGATAAGCCGCATTACCAATGATTAACGATGAAATGTAGCGTTATTTCACTCTATTGGCTCTTGAATATTTTTCCAAATAGGAACCTATATATTTATATTTATGTTACCGAGCAGACAAGCACGACGTCTGAAAATTGCTTTGAAGGTGCCATTCCAATTCTGTGCACTGGTATGGAGCCTTGTACATATAGCGTTTTCATTTAGTTTTTTTTTATGTTGTTAGAGAAATTAATGTACGATGTTACTTAGGCCGGTATTCATTGTCAGATCTTGTATTTAAGACCGTCTTAAATTCATTCTCAGATGCATTTTAACCAATGAATCAATCTGCAGAGCCTCTGAAAATAAATTTAAATATAAGATCTTAAATATTAAGTTCGACCTATGTGAATACCGGCCTTAGAGTAGGATGTGAGTTACCACTTGGGAGAAAAAATTATCATCCTGCAAAAATTAAATCACAAATTCCTTAGTGTTCTACCTGGTTGGAAGAACTAATTGGTGCGACTTTTGTGATGAGTTAATCTTAAGATAAAAATGCTTATTTTAAGATTTCCTTTCCGCTTTAACGAGAACGTATTTCAATTATCTTTCCTACTTCTTTATATATATATGGATAATTGTAAATATTAGTTTTTAATTATTAAACAGTTGGTAAAATAGGACTAAAATAAGTTTACGAGAAGAATATTTTACATATTACCGACACGTCAAGGGGCTATAGACACACATACAGTGCCGTATAGTTTATGAGTGAAATAATTTATATGGCGAAATTAAAACGCGCAATGTGTCAATTTATACACGGATTGTCGTTGCATATTTTAATTTCTGTCCACGCGAAAGCAACAATACAGAATGTAATTACTAATAATGTAAAATAATATTTAAAGTTATTAATAACGATTTAAAGTTATTAAGAACGAGATAGTAAACAAATTTTTATATCTATGAATCGGAAACGGAAGTGTAGTTAGTGAAAAGTGCATGAATTAAGTAATTGATATTGTATAAATTGATGTGTTTGTACTGCGATAAATATATTACATAATTTACGCTACATGACTATTGACGCATGTGAGGACAGACACGTGAGTGCTACACAACGACATTTAGGAATACATATCGCTCAGGAAATTTTCGACTGTGTTGTATTGTAATTGTTGTTAATAATATTAAATACGTGTTTTATATAATTTTATTTGTCTTGCTTACTTTTATGTATTACACGTATCGTTCAAAAAATGCGGCTCGCACGTAATGTCTCTTCGATACAATTCTTGGTTATCGCACAAAGCACAGTACATAAAAGAAATGCTTATGTCGTTACTGTAACAAATATATACTCATATAGATGTACATAAAATTTCGGTACATTGAAATGGTACATTTTTATCGCAATATACACCAAATACGCCAAGCTGAAAAAATATGTTAATCTTGCCATATATGTAATATTCTTCGTGTTTATAATGACATACAGTTGTTTGGCAACGTTTTCTTTTTCAAATAAATCAAATAATATCAACCAAACTAGATTGTATATGAAGTTGTCTTATAGTAGTAGTAGCAGCAGCCCACAATAACTATGATTTAAGTATATTTACATAATTATATTCATAGTAGTGGAATATCTATATATATAATTCATAATTTTAAGTAAATAGATAGGACAAATAAAATAATCTGGATATTAAGAAAATAGATAATTAAGAAAAACTTATCAAATATTCTAAATCCTCTTTAAACGGAATAAGAGAAGACAGAGAACAGAAAGAAAGCAAAATTTTTCATATATCGTAGAATTAAAAAAAAAAACGATTATAAATATGACATATAACTATTAGCATATTAATATTATATACTTCTTTCATTTTGTAATATTGATTTATAAGATGCTGGTCAGTTCTAGCATCAATTCTAGTTAACTTCTACAGCCGTACTTACAGACATTTTGCAATAGGCGGTTGATGATATTACAAGAAAGCTCTAAAGCTCAGGTTGTTTTTGCTGAAAATGAAAACACAAAACAATACAACCAAACGAGAAACTAGAAAAATAATTAACATTTTAATAAATGACGAACTATGTTTCTTGTTTACGACATCTAAAGGAATAGCATCGAAATGTCATAATTTTCAATGAACCGCTGTAATTTTAACGAATTACGTCATATTGCATATGAACATGATAGGACTTGGTAAGAATACATATGCAATTAACATTAAAATCGATCGCAACAACGCATACAATTTTGCGTTAGTTATTCGTTACCTTACAAGCTAGTTATAAATGCACCAGTGGTACACAGCAGTATTACTCGAGTACATGCAATATTTTGCATAGTACAGAAGTCGAATATATGCTGGAACGATTTTTTCAAATAATCACATAAACTATACTTTCCATATTAGAGATATAAATACGTACTTTTGTATATCTTATACTTTTTATCATAGTTTTCATATATATATATATGATTATATATATATAAAATCATACGAAGCGTTAATAGAACTGGCTACTGTAGCATATAAAGTATAAACTAAGGATGTAATTAGTTGATCTCTCCGAATGAAGCAAAACTCTACTGAGTTAAAGGTTGAATCGGCTTGCACCGCCTATCTAAAAGACTGTTAATAAGGAGCTTGGTATTAAAATTACATACAGCACAATTTGCACATGTAGTATCTGTGTTGAAATTAGAATTATTGATACGAAGCAAATTCGTCAACAATGCCTATTTCTTACGCAACATATCGACATGTATATTAATATGCAATACTTTTTCAAATTGCATTATTTTGGATAAATGATCGCGATTAGCATTTCGATAATTAGATCATAAGCAGAGAAGAGTCTGTAACATAATATTTTAGAATTATGTTTAGCTGTAGGTATTCGTTTTGCCGCTATTATAGTTATGTATTATTACAATGTTAGATCGTAAATACCTGTCTCATAGTTCGCTGAGTCTTTGCTCGTGATAAGTCCAGAGATTTAAGAGAAATCTCTATTCGGGAAAACAGTAGGCGCTATCAATGACCACACATAAAGGCCCAGACACATCCATGAAGAAATAATCTTCACCCACATCGACGCGGCGTTCGAATTTAAGGTATCTAGATTCGAGTTCGGTCTGTAAAATCATACGGTATTAATGTTAGTGCAAATTAAAACGATATATTGATAGTTCAGCTCCACATCGCAGATACGCACCTGTACCAGTTTGTGAGTGTCATCATAACGTACAAAGTGGCCAGAGCGAACATAAGATGGAAGAAACTCCAATTGTATGCCACTTTATCTTCTTCATTGTCCCAAACTTTGGCATCACTTCCACCCTCGGCATCGTGATTACGTCCTTCTACTTTAGTATAATCTGGTTTACATTTAGGAAAACGAGAAATAACAAAAAAAGAAAAAAGCTAATGTTATACTGCGGATGAATAGGCTAAATAATAATAATACTCAAACGAGAATAAATTAATAAGATAACACGATAAACGGAAAATGAGCAAAGGAATAAAGGCAAACACACACTAACTACCGAGCAGATATAATCATGACTTGATACTATTAAAAATGCAATGAATAAATCTATTTCTTATTAATCCCGGATCCTGGATACTCACTATGGCTGTCCTTCTTTGATGACGTCAGAAACGAGGAAAATCATGCCAATGAGTTGAATCAAACAAGTGTGTTGAATCGGGCTGTGTTCCAATATTCACTGTGAATTTTGGAACACAGTTTCAATCACGATTTATTATTTTGCGCGTATATTCTTTTATTTCCACATATACTGTCACATTAATTGATTCTCCTCGCTTCTGATGTCATCGAAGAAAGATAGCCATAGCAAATATCCAGGAGCCTTAAATTATATATCGTATAAACTATTTTTTATCAAGTACATCCGTGTATAGATACAACAGACAAGTGAATATACATTTTCAGAGGCAGAAACGCAAAAAATCAAAGGGCTCGCGTTCAAAAAATAAAATCTACTTGCAAAATAGTGTGTGCCTACCTTCATTGCCGATAAGAGACTGCTCTCCTGCATTCCTGACTGTATAAAAAGATCAATATTTAATGCAACTACTCTCATTTTTTTTACATGACAAAATATATATGTTTCTCCTGCACAAAGGGATGATAGATCTTAAGCGGATGTGCACTTGACAAAAATATTGTACATCCAGAACAGAAATATTTTCGTGACTTCCAAGGCACCGAAACGTAAAAATGGCGTTCTTCCACGTATACATACACACACAGGCACAAATGTTACATTAAATTATTCTCTTGTAACACTAACCGGCCCCATTATCCTGGACTAAGACATTCTCGGACATCGTGATCTTTGATGATTTGGACGCCGTGCGCAACGAACTGTAGAGAACGCAGCTGAACCAAATTATAAGGCCGATAATGCTCTCCTTGTCAAATGCAACCCGATTTTGCGCACTGACGTCATGACCGTTAATTATGCCGAAGAAACCGGGATTGCATTTGTGATCTACAAGTTAAAGCACAAAACGATCAAGAATAAAGAAAGTATATTGCGTTGTTGACTCACATCATTGTCCATGCTGAACAATATTTACCTGGACTATTTGACACGCCACTCCACGTTAAGTATACCACGTATAACGTTACCACGGAAGATTGAAGGAGCCCAGATCGTGGCTGATGTTCTTGCACGCTCGGTAAGACCGATATGATGCTGGTAATAACGCACAAAATCAAGTTGAATGAGATGAAAAATTTATTGAGGCCGCATATGCCTTCCTGTAAACATAAGGTAAATGACCTCCTAAATATGCTGGCGAAGTTTGTCGGTTTATTCGTGGAACACTCTGTATGTGAGAGTATGTTTTCAAAACAGAAATATATAATTAATAAAATCTTACGTGCGTGAAATATACGTAAAGTAGTACCGCCCCAGCGATAGAGACGGCATAATTGAAGAACGTTGCACCTAGTAAGGCAGCGTACCTGAAAATATTTTGATAGTCTCAGCTATTTCTAAAATATTTGTATATACGTATTTAAGTATTATCATGAAAACAGCAATCTCTCTCTTACCATCCTTTCGATTCAGATTCTTCGTAATTCCCTACCCACGCATCGGCCCAAGAATGAGCAAAGTCGACAATCAGAATCAACTGTATTATTATAAAGAGAAAGCCTCCTATCATTCCAAAGTACATCCAAGTAGCTCCAAAGGATCTCTCTGGAATGAAAAAGGCGCCAATAATCCCTCCAATTATCAGGAGATACTTGATAGCCCAGAATCTGAAAATTGTATATAGATGTCACAGGTCGAATCTTTTAGTCAGCAGAGTATCTTAACAAGTGTCAATTCAATTTACCCATTTTGTATAGCCGCTCGTGGATCCTGTGAACTTCTCACCCTGATCATTATTACAGACATCAGGAAGAAGTACAAGGAGAGAATGAAGCATATTCTGTAAACTGCCAAGTAACCCACCGCAGAGTCGCAATCTACGGTAATTTGCGATGGAACATAACCGTTGGAACTATTTGCACAGAATGGTACCTGTTCAAATATGACGATATTAATATTGCACTATTATTTGCCAAATGATTATTTCTGACATTACCTTTTTAAGCGCATTCTGTAGACCGGGAGCAAGGGTAATGCAGGCTGCAATAGTTCCCAGCATCAAGAGCAATGCGTACATGATGCGAGTGCTCGTACTGTTCCTGCATGACGGACATTGGGAACAACAAAAACTGCAAGCTGTGCTTCCGCACAAACATGCCAGCTGCATGGTAAAAGAGAGAGAATATAGGAAATATAACGTTATATAAGAGAATGAGCATAACATAAATAATATTAATTATAAAAGTTAAAATATACAGATAAAAATAGGAGCCTGCAATAACAGGTGTCTTGCAAAACTGACATATTTTCCTATACTACTATATTTCAAGCATCATATATTTATTGTTATACTGATATTTTAACAGTGTCATGGGAGCGTCACTTCCAGTACGCTGAGGAAATCTTTAAAAATAGCGCTTACACACTATGTCTTTGTCGCATGTATATGCAATCAATATCGGGCGCACATATAATCAAACGATACATACGACGCCACAATCAGATATATGATGATTCGTTCGTACTTTCGTACGTGAAATTCCCCACGAGATCTGTGGCGAAGATCCATGGTCTAAAATGCGATTGAGAGATCAACTCGATTGTGTTTGGAAAGAAAGTGTCGCACACGAGTGAGATTCCTCTATCCACGGAGGACGATAAAGCGCAGTAAAGCGACGGTAATTGCTGGTTATCCGTCTGAGCGATGATAAGGACAAAATTGCGACTAGGAGTTTATCGCATCGTTACTTTGAATATCGCAACGGATGGAAAAGAACGTTGAATAGAACGCGCTGAAGTAGCTTTTCAGCGTGAAAGGGAAAAATGGGAGAAAAATTCTCTCGCGTGAGAGGGGGTGAGTCAGACAGTTATCTCCTATAGCTCGCTTACCTGAGCCGTCGAGCACACGAGACCCATGACGAGATCCTCTCGCCGCTAGCCGGGGAGAAAATCACCGATGGAGGAGGAGACCCGGTGATGAGAGATTTCGACGCGGTGCTGCGGTCCGAGATGGATTCGCACGGTGAGACGCGCGTGAAGAAAACACGGAAATAACGGGCACGAAGCGCGCAACGATACGACGCAACTGACAGTATCCGCGAGCAACTTCGCACGATCAGCTGACCGTGACGTCAGCCGTTCGCTCACTCTGCCGGTTCTCGTGGCGCACTTCAGGCCGCTCCGCCGGCGGCCAGCAGCGCGCCAATTGATTGGCCGCGACGGCGAGCAGTGCTACGAGCGCAGAGCTCCGGTTGTCACGGTGGCCGTCGTGGTGTGGTTGTACGCGCCAGTCCGTGATCGCGCGTGTGTGTTCGACGTTGTCATCATCGCTAAAAAAAAAAGAGGAGCAACAGAGGAGTGCGCGCATGCTGACGTTACAGCTCGGCTCAAGTAAGTGCAAGCGACCGCCTTATTGTGTCTCATTATGTCAATCACTGCAGAACGAGAGTAACCCCCGCACGTTCGTTAGCTCGTTGTCGCGCACCGCTCCGGATCGAGAGATTTCCCAAACGAGGAGGATCTCTCGCGGGCCCAGGTAGAAACACTGGCCTCTAAACGCGTGTCCGGTTTCACGGTACGTGTTTCGTCGGATGACGACGACGGGGTGTTGGCTTGCATCCTGCTTACAATCTGCGCCAGGTTTAATCCCAGGCTTAACCTGTTAACCGAATACGCGGCAGATACGGGGTGTTACGGAAGAATATGAAACTGTACGCGACTAGTGGCTTTGATCCCGCCTCCGTGAGCTCATGGTCAGTTTCGACGCAACGTGTTTCGTCCGGCTCGTATTTTTAATACTTCCGGAATGTATTCCGCGACTTATTCTCGGCGGTGGGCGCGGACACCCGCGAGACGCACGCAAATTCATTACTGCCGCGTGCATGTAGGTCGATCTTACCTAAAAAAGGCAAGCCCTCCTCGATCGTTGTGTGCTTCGATCGATCGTAGGAGAAACTAATGACTTGGCGCACGCGAGAATTATCGCCGACTCTCGTTCCGATAATCCCCTAATCTTCTTTGTTGGAAATTCCTCTGGCAATTTCGCCTTTTTGTTTTTTTAAGTTCAGCGATATCTTCGCAAGCGATATTTGGCAATCTTTGCGGGATTAATTAATTACGAGCGGCGGGATTAATGTTGGACTTTTGTCACGGTCTTTTATGCGCTCATTTGCCGATCGTCTGAATTCCTAAATATATAATGTTACACACAGAAAAATATATATATATTGCATTCGAGTAAATATTATTTTTGTTTCAAGTATTTTATAAATTTATATATCTGTTATCTTTACAGAAAAGTATTACGGACTGTAATTAATTATTCAGTGATAAATTATTGTTGCTTAGTAGTTTTATTCCTCATATTAGTGATAAAACTTCTGAACAACAATAATTTATCACTGGCTAATTTATCATAGCCAGTAATATTTTTCTGAAGAGAAGCTTATCAAATTTGTTAAAAATATTTTTATATTTATTATATATGTATTATAGAATATATCTATTCAAACTATATTCTGGATCCTGGCGAGTTTAGTATTACGACCAAGAATGTTAAAACACTAAACTTCGATTTATTTATTTTAATTAACCGAACTTAACTTTTCTTCGATAAAGTTTATAATATATTTGAAAAGAGAACAACTTCTTTTGAATAAATGATAATGAGCTTTTCTAGTGTCTGTGATGAGTGTATTTTAATTCTGTTATATCAAGAAAAAAAATTCTTTATTCAAGATAACCGTTACTCAAAAGGAAAAAAATAAACTGAGTAATTGCTCCTCGTCGCAATGCAATGATACTTTATTATCATCATTTTTCACTGTGTAGAATTCAGCGCATTTGCAATCTCCGCTGCGTTATTGAGTTATATTTAGATTTCGGCTAAATCAGCCTTCGCGAGATGGAAACGAGAGTACGAGTTGGCGGCGGCGACTTCGCGGTTTTAAGATCCTTGAGCTTCCTCGAGAATTCGAAGAATTGAATTCTCGCGTTCGTCGCACTTCTGCGTTCTTCATTTGTGACCTGCGCAACCGCAGGTGTCGTAAACGTTATCTCTCGTTATGAATCACCCCTCGCAATATTTTCCGCAATGCGAAACGCGGGGGAACGATGACAGGGCGGAGCAAGGATGTTAGACGAGAATTCGTTCCTCACGTTGGCCGGCTTAATTAACTTTGATGCGACTTTATAAACAGTAATTACGTCACAGCGCGGTAATAACGTTGTCTGTCATGTCCCGCAGACGAAACGCTGACGAATTTGTTGTTTCACGCGACGTTGCACGCGGAATGTCGCGATACGTACTTTCGACGAGCGCGTTTTTAATTGCGTATGGTATACACAATTTATCGCCCGCTCTGTGGCGTATCTCGCTTTGATTAGCGTTCGAGGTCAGCTGCCTACTGGTCCATCCTTCGTGAAATTTCACATGCCTTCTCTTTGATCTCCAGAAGGTCGTCACGAATTACGTTTGATACGATCTAATATGCTCCGACGGAGATACGCTTGTAGATTGCAGATTGGAGGAGCAGTTTCCAAGTAAAATCTATCTGAGCTCAGCACCGACGGTCTCTCGGTAGCGTTACAGTTGTGTTAATGAATGTTAATTAGTATGAAGGAATATGTGCGCACGCGCGATGCGATCGAGCATTCATATTTATAATGTGTTAATATATGCTGCTAGTTCTGTCAATGTTAAATTATAATAACATTTAAATAATACTTCCCAAGATTGCTCAAGTCTTAGATAACTTGGTGAAATGTGCATTGTTTCAAATACGATTCGTTTTTATTTTACATTGTACCTTTATTGCCGATATGGGAAATTCGTTTAAACTTACGCAGGAAATATTAGTCTCAAATCAAGAATAGATATTCTCATGTATAAGTAAGAATATTATAATTTTCTTAGAAGATTCTCAGTCTTGTTTTGATTGAATTTATATTGATACAAATATTACTTGTGCATTTAATTCAAGACTAAAATTCTTCCAACAACATTATAATATTCTTGCTTATACGTGAGAATATCTGCTGTTGATTTAAGACTTTTTTTCCTGTATAGTTTAAGAAAATACCATATAGTAAAATATAGTAAAAATATTTCAAGTCGTTTCCCGATTAAGAGAACATTTGTTGTTTACAGGAGGACCAAGCTTTAGTGAATAACGATTGGTGAAACTCGGTAATAACAATCAAAAGCGATGGATGAGAAATCGGAAAGTGACAAAGTCTCTAAGCCGAGCACTTGGCCATACATGAACGTTAGCTCGCTGTCCATATCGTTTCTCACAAAATTGGCAGCAGCTGGTATCATTTGGGGATGGGGATATTTCAACTTCAGCATAGCCTGGTTGATCGCACCGATCGCATTTTCCGTGTGGAAGGGCGAACGGAAAAGGGATAACGAGCTGAAGACGATCATGGCGCAGGCCAGCGTGTTGGCTAAAGAAAAACAGTTGATCTTCGATCGGATGGATGAATTACCTTCCTGGGTGTATTTTCCCGACTTCGACAGAGCCGAATGGCTGAACAGAGTACGTTGGAATTTTTTCATTTTGCGAACTATTAATCATACGAGATACCATCTTATGCGTGAGCAGTGAATATCAAATATTCGTTCGTTTTCTGTATTATCAGATCCTGTATAAAGTGTGGCCGAGCATGAACGAGTACGCCCGCCAACTGTGCAAACAAAATATAGAACCATCAATCGTGGAGACAATCAAAGGCTTTCAGTTTGATCGCCTGGTTCTGGGTCGCATTGTAAGTTTCTTTTAATACTATGTTTTTATATGAGCGTCTCTTTTTTACATCCGCAGTCTGTCTAACAAAAGCATTACCGGAATAATTTAAAAGCTATTTGTTGCGAGAAAATAAGAAAAAATATATAAACACACTACTACATTAGTACTAAAACGTTTTTACATGAATAAGTCTAGTCGTTGATAATTTCCTAACACCTCCGAAGCATATTTTTCACTAAACTGACAACATATTCTTCAAATAATGATCTCCATATCTCATGAATTTATTAAACCAATTGTATTTAGATATATATTTATGATTAAAATTTGTCGAAAAAAATTATATTGTCCATTGTTATGTGCCCCAATTGCGATAGATATTTTGTGTTATATCAAGAAAAAAATTTTGTTAGTCAGGCTCTTGTTAGGCAAACTGTATGTCTTATGTGAGATTTTTACATCCTGTATTTTAAAATCTACCAAAAACTTGTCTTTTACAGCCACCGAGAATTTACGGAATCAAAGTGTACGATAAGAATACTTCGAGAAATGAGATCATTTTAGATGCAGATATTATGTATGTATTTTATTTCCCTGCAAAATATATTAACACACGTTTAAGAAATATGACTCATCATGAGCTAATTATATTTATAGATATGCCGGTGACTGTGATATTACCTTCTTTGTTGGCAACATCAAAGGTGGCATTAAAGACTTTCAAGTAAGCATATTGGAAGACTGCTATTGGATCGCATTTTCTGCAATTTTCAACAAAAATTGATAAATTTCAGATGCGCGGCATGGTGCGCGTTATCATGAAACCTATGCTGTCGGTAATGCCGTTAATCGGAGGCGTACAAATATTCTATCTGAACAATCCCTCTATTAACTTCAACCTAGTAGGAGTAGCTGATGTACTGGACTTGCCTGGATTCAAGTAGGTTTTTTTTTTCACATAACATCACTAATTTCAAGCACTGACGTATAAATTAGCATCACTCAGCACTCGAACGAAGGAACTTACATAATAAAATATTTTTCAGTGAAATTTTAAGGAGAACTATTGTTGAACAGATAGCGGCCATTGCTGTGTTACCAAACAAAATAATTATACCATTAAGCGAAGAAATACCGGTGGAATCCTTGAAAACACCCGAACCTGAAGTAAGTTTCAGAACATCTTGTATATAACACACTTGTGTATACACATTGTAAAATATAAGCTTATCTTCTTATTAAGTATATTTATACATCTGTTTGGGGCATTTCAGGGTGTTCTGAGAATTCATGTTGTGGAAGCGAAGCATCTTATGAAGAAGGATATCGGAGTGTTAGGAAAAGGCAAGTCGGACCCGTATGCCATCATAAATGTCGGTGCTGAAGAATTTAAAACCAAAACAATCGACAATACCGTCAACCCAAAGTGGGACTTCTGGTGTGAGGTACGTGAGACGTTTTCCTAATCAGTCATGCACTAAACATTAACAACGTTTAATGCATGTGCTTTGTCGCAATTTCTATCGATATATATCTTTCAAAAAATACTACACAAGGTCTTCTCTATATAATGGTAAGAAAATATTTTATGAATCTATAAATTCACACAATTACGAGATAAATTCTCTGTGAAAATTATCTCCACGTGCATTTAGTTAAATCATTAGATGATAGCGATACAAATAGGATATATCGTTATCCTGCACTTTCATTTAACTTTCTCATAATTGAGCAAGCTTAATACATCAAACATTCCCGTTCGAAATATTATGCCAAATTAACATTCCAGACAGCCAATTCTCCGCTTATATAACTCATACATGCGTATAGTTCCCGACTATTTCAGCACGGATATTTCTTTTGAAATAATTTATGCGGCCTCTCATTCCTTAGACAGTGTTACTTTTAGTGGTTAGAGTGTTATCTTTCTTTCTCTCTCTCTCTCTTTCTTTCTTTCTCTTTCTCGGACTGCATATAGGATACACACCTTAGTCTATGTTAATATAATTTAATTCCATAAGTTTGGTATGTATGTGTGTATGTCATGTGCAACGTATTATGTGGGACTAGTGTGACGTGACCTCAGCCATCGCACAACAACTGACCATACTGCTGTGGGACTATGATGACACTAAAGCCGATGAAAGTCTTGGAAGGTATAGTTACATACAACATTGCGTATTCGTTCGTTTTTTTTTTTTAATCCATTTCGGAGACATTTCTAAATTCTGTTTCGATTCGTCTAAATTGAACATATTTTCTCACTTTACTTTTTCATTTTACTTTTGTTATCAAACGAGCAGGATAAATTGCACAAAATATATATTGCGAGATTATCTTGTTAAGCGATGAAAAAATATTATTATACATGTACATAATGTACATAATCCATTTAGAATCATTTACTAAATTCATTCGACTTATTTCTTTCTCTTTCTTTCTCTCGCTCTCTCTTTTTCTCTACCAATATACGAAGAAGCTTCTATCGCATGTTGTCATTATGCGGGTGTTTAAAAGTGTCTATATTGGTCTATGTTGGTCTGATTGTGAGTATCGTTTGAGTGGTATCCGGACGCATGTTAGTCTTATTTTATTTTATTAATGTTCTCTTTACTAACGCTTTCTGTAATAAACACACGAGATTTCGTCACGTTGCGAGAACAATAACGCGCGATTGTACATTTATCTGTTTAGCGGCATATTGCAGTCATTTTCTTCAGATCAAATTCTATCTACGTATCAATCAATTTCAATCACACAATTATGGTCATTTTCTGACACTCTCGTGTAGTGCATACATTTCACAGACATTTAATATAATTCAATGGTGTAAGTAGGTGTAAGTAAACAGTGCTAATTTCAATGGAACATATATATATTATACGACTGCTGCCGGAAAGACTTGTCACTTGTTATACAACATTTGTTATACAACAAATAATATTGGCACACAGGCTATGATCACTTCATGCAATATGCAAGAAGCCGTGGTATCTCTTTGGGATTGGGATCCTAATATCCCAGGGGTACAATATGATGATTCCCTTGGCAGGTAGTAAGATTATGATTTGCGAATGAGACGATGCTTGCACGCGCGCATATAACCAACGAAAATGCACAAATGTTAATTTACAATGTTGTTTTGTTCGAGCATGTCACGTATACGAATATTTACATTTCTATCATATAATATGTATGCGTATTACCTCCGTAAATAATATAATGAATTTCTGTATTTACATATAGTTACGTCAAGTGAGATTTATTATATTTTACTAATGCTACAGATAATATTATCAGTCGGACGATAAAATAGCTTGTTAAATATGTGCTGCACGATCGTTTTTATTTCATTTATTTTGTCTTTTTTAAGACACGTATGTATGTTGCAGTTTCTTAGAAAATTGTACTATATTTTCACATATTTTTCGTACGTCTGATTGTTTGACTGACCTTTTAATATTTTTGTGTAAATTTGATTAATCTGTCGTTGAGTAATCACGATTAACTTATCATGCAATATCCCCGCAATATTTTCTTCTTTTTTTTTCTTTGTTTTGTACAACGAGGGAGGAAACGTTTGACGTCTTATGTTAGACAGTTTTCGTCGTTTTCATTAATTATTTTGAACGGAGTGATTAGGTGACTTTGTGTGTTTTGTGAGGAAAACAACTAAAATAGACTGTGTGGTGGCAGTTTATAGTGCAAGAGGGCTTGGGAGCCTACAACACCGTGGTTGCCCAGCTCTTTGACAAAGACAACACTGGTCAAGATGATCCACTTGGCAGGTATTGCTGAATGTAGCGAGTACATAATTTCCAGACCAGATCGATAGTGCATTTTACGAGATTCGTATAGAACATGAATTAATACACACATACGGGCACTCTCTGGCGTTGATAATCAGTAGATTACCGCTTGAAAGGCTGCGTTTTCCTTTTGTCGCGCGAATTATCTGCAAAATACCGCGGCGTCTTTGAGGTGTTTCAAACGTGAGCATCGATCACATCCCAGATAGACGGAAGTGCTGAACATAATACGCAAATATTCAATGTATACTTTGTGATGCCGTTGCAACAGTGCAACACGTTTAAAATATCTCGCGAAATTCGTGGCTTCAGATGACTGCTTTTATATACTGGCGAAATTCTTGTTGTATGAGGGACGCACCTTCGCGTACTTATGCTGCTCACGATGCAGATAATACACTAAAACACGTCTATCTGGAACGTAACAGTGATGCATGCCGTTTACTTTGTATTTTACTTATCGTCGGAGGATCCGATATGCTGAAGAACATTACGGGATCCGACATGCCAGAGTTGCGTTGAGAATGATGAATTCTGAACTCATGTCACCACGTTACTCTCACGACATACCAAGTGAACGTTAGATCTATTTCTTTTCCTTAAGTAATGAAAATTAAATAATGCTATGGTGTGTGGCGATGTTGCATGTCTTACTTTAGTGTACATAGTGTACGCAATGACGTTTTTTTTTATGTCATTATTTGGAGCTAGAACTATGAGAGTACATTGGAATTAATGAGATCGCATTACGGTTGCATGAACGCCTCATAAACGCAGGAATGGTATCACGAGTATCGCATTTTGTACATAAATTTACCATGCTGCCTGTCATCATCATTGCTAAGAACGAAAACACTTCAAGTCCGCTGAGCCAGTTACTTATATTCTTGAAAGTTTAATTCGTCTCGCGCGTGTAGTTTGAAGTTCTTTAAAAGTCCATTTTCACGTTTCAAATGATGACGCAGAGCCACCATCGAAGTCATCCGTGTGAAGAAGAAGGGCATGATCGATACGGTGAGTGATACGAAACTCGTCTCGTTTGAAATTTGTTGTTCGATCTTGTTGCTAACGGGATTTATTTTACAGTGGATCTCCCTGGAGCAAGCGAAACACGGTATGGTTCATCTGCGATTAACGTGGCTGCAACTATCGAAAGATCCCGCTGACTTGAAAGCTGTGAGTAGAACACGACAAGCTTACGCCTAAGATGCTTGTACGTAAAAGTTAACTTTTAATTGATAATTTTCTCGCGCAGGCTCTGACAGAGACTCAGGAGCTTCGAGTTACGTCGATGAGCACCGCCCTTCTCACTCTCTATGTCGATTCTGCCAAGAACCTGCCGGTACGCAAAAGTTTATGTAAATAATATACAACAGGAGGAGGCAATAAGATGAAATGGTAATAATTATTATCGCTTTCAATATATTCGAAACTATGAGAATAAGTAAAAGTAAAAGATCTCGAGAAGTATTTACTTTTCGGTGATCTTATCTTATTACTTGTATACGAGAAATAAACACAGAAATTGATTTATATAAAAAAAAAAAAACTATATAATTCCGTTTAAAAGAAAAACAAAAGTGACCTTTAGATTTTTTTAACTATTTGACCTAGAAAAAAATGTTATCACCATAAGACGACCATTTCTATCATTTTTGTTAGATAAATGTAATTTCCGCCATGTAATTTCTGTTAGATAAATTTTCCTCTTACTCTCATAGTTTTGAAGATATTCAAAGCCAGGTAATAGTTATTGCCTTTCTCCGTAAGTGAAAAAACATTTCAATAAAACGTGTGTGATGGGTATTGTCTCATGTCACGCGTAGTGTATACGAGGAACTAAGCAACCCGACGTTTACTTGGAAGCGAGTGTCGGCGGGAAGACTAAAAAGACAGCTACCGTGCCGTATTCCTGCGATCCGGTGTGGGAACGAGGATTCACCTTCTTAATCAGTAACCCCGAAACTGGTATTCTACACATAAAGGTTGGCTGCATATCTTTCGATTGACCTCTCTCGTTACTTGATGATTATTAATAATGACCATTCATATTTTAGCTGACAGATGAAAAAACCACCATGATAGTCGGGGAATTGAGTTATAATCTTTCCTTGCTTTTGGAAAAGAACAATCTCCAAGTAACGCAACAGCCATATGACTTGCAGATGGCTGAGGCGGACAGCAAGCTCGTAATGTCGATGTCGTTGAACGTAAGTACTTGTTTACAATGACAATGTTTATTTAACGACGCAGCTAGATGCACCGATCGAACGAAGCAACTTCGATCTTACAGATCTTGAAGTACGAGCAGCCCGAACCTACTTCCGAGGAAGATGAGGACGACCATGACATCAATCAGTTGAATAAACGCATCGAACGTCAGGAATCTAACATCAGCAACGTTTTACCTTCCAGTAGTGAGTAGCATTATGTCACCGCCGAAATATCTCTTCCACGTTTCCAGATTCGTTTTGGACGTCATTGACAAATCTCTCATAAGCGGATGGGAAACTCGTCTTCAATGTTGCACGTTTCCTTGCAGTACCTTCTAGTCCCCTCAGGAAGCAGCCTTCAAAGGAATCAATCAGCAGTCAACCACGCAGTACCGGATCCGCCGCGGCGGTTTTGCCGGAGGAGCCGGCAGCGGTGGAAGAGGAATTGATAATTAACACCAGCGCTCCGTCTTCTCTAACCGGGAGTCCTCATCTTATTCATCGGAATATCAGCGTGACCTCTTCTTTGGGCGAGGCGAAACTGGGCAGGATACAGTTGACCTTGCGTTACAGCGTGCAGAGACAGAAATTCGTCGTGGTCGTGCACAAAATCGCGTAAGTCTGTGCGATCTCTGTATCGCCTGTATGTGTTTGTTCACGAGATGAATTCTTAATTGTCTTACTTTACGCTGCAGTAACCTGCCGCTGCCACCGAACGATCCTCACAACATACCGGATCCGTATGTGAAGCTCTACTTGCTGCCGGACCGGTACAAGGAAACGAAGCGCAAGACTGCCGTGATGAAGGATAATTGTAATCCAACGTTCGACGAGCAATTCGAATACGTGGTCTCGCAGGGAGACTTGGGTACGCGTATACTGGAGGTGTCGGTGTGCACCCAAAAGGGCTGGTTGTCGACCGGGAGCAAGGTGATGGGTCAGGTCCACTTGAAACTGAGCGAGATGGATTTCTCGAAGGCGATCACCAGTTGGTACGACTTGCAACCGGAGATAAAAGACTAGAAAAAGAGGAAAAGTAAGTGGAGATTCGAGCGTCTGTGCGTCTGCCTGTCGAAACAACCGCTTAAGTTCCCACTTGATAACTTTTACAAACGATGAAAGTCCGTAGAAATGCGTAAGTCTAAGTAAGCTTTCGTTAAGTCGTGTCTCACTCTCGCGACCGACGACTTTGTTTTTTTTTTTTTGGCGAGACGAGCTGGTGCTACGCGAGAGACGCGAGTCGTCCGCGCGAAATGATGATCTTGTCTGTTGAAACGTTCGTACTTATGCCGTCCAATGGCACGAAATGATCTGATATATAAGTATATGATATAAATATATTATTACCGCGATTGCCGCATAGGGAGGGACGGATATCGGCTTATAGTGGAACTTGAAGCAAGTTCCCATTGGTGTGTTTAAATGTTCTGAAAATGCGAGAGAAATGAATTTCGACGAGGAATTTTTCACGTCTGTTGAAGTTGTCTTCTTCCTGATGTGCCTAAAGTGAAGAAAAAAAAAAAAGAAAAGACGCTGGGCGTTTGTTTGAATAACCAATATGGCGAACAACGTGATTCGTTGTAATCGTGCGAGGATGTTCTGTAAAAAATCTGTAAAATCGTACAATTATGATCGATATTCACAAGTAACGTAAAATTTTTCCGGTCCCCATGCCAATCCCCGCCTGACTTTGATCTTATTCTGTATTTTTAATTGCGTTTGAGCTCATAATTATACCGCATTCGGTTTTAAAACGGTTTGAACATTTTTTTTTTTTCGATACCGCTGTCACATAACTGATCACCACCAAGCTCGTAATGGCTCGCAATCGTGACAATTTGACGCACTAGTAACTTCATCGGAAGGAACGTGTGCAAACCGTAGTGCAAAAACTACTCGTATAATTAAAGAATCGAGAGGTATTTTCATATTATGACAGTATTTGATTTTGTTGTTCACATAATCGTTACTCAAATATCCATGTGCATTTTTCTTTTCCTTTCATCGTGTTTCAACGCACTGCTTTATTGTTATTAACGGAGACGGATAATGCATTTATCGATTGCATAAGCGATTAAATGGGTGATTACCAATCTCTATATACATGATTTATATTTTATAGGATATATCTATATATATAATAATTCGGAAGTGACCGTGTGTGGCATACGTTTATATAGTTTTAATACAGCATAATTCGTGAAATCAAATTAATATATATATATATATATATATACACGCGTTTATATCGAAGTTTTTTGCTATATTACACATATACATATATAAACGTACACCTATGTACATCTATATTCTGTGACGCACTGTCAGTAATGTCACGAACTGTTGAGAACAATAAATATTATTATACGCATTGTCATTACCAAACCGAATAATTATATCCCGGTTATGCTATTATAGAGAAGAGAGAGACAATTAAAAAGAAAAAAACATGTACATATTTATTACGCACACATCGCATAGATCTGTTCGACACAACCGTTACTCTGTGCGATTCGTATAAAATACATCTTAATCAACTAAACCTACGTCCACAATTAAATAATCAGCCATGTCCATTTTGTTCTCCGCGACAGATCGACGCTCGCTGTTACTTTATAGATCCAACGATCACCAAGGAAACTGAAGGAAACTGAACGATGGTCGAGTATGGTGTTCTTTATCGTTGACACTCTCTCGTCGTACGCGGGGAAGAACTTTTATACATGTATATTCTACACACTCTCACCCTCGTTTCTAATGGATTTAACGCGATAATTTAACCGCGGCTTGATAGAATTTTTATCGGTATGCAGCGGACGTCGATGTTACCTTGTCTTCCAGGTTTCAGCTTTGACAAGAACGTGAGTACCTTTATTTACCACGTATCAAGCGCGTGTCAATCACCGAGACGTCACGTCGCTGATATACTATCATTCGCGAGGCAACGAGTATCACGAAATAATTAGTCCGTGTAGAACATAGTTGCAATGTAGAAACTTTACGAAAACGGGCAAAAAGAATCGTGTCACTGGTATGCGTGTGTGTGTGTGTGCCTTGCAGCTCGGCAGGACGAAATTTCATAAAAGCCATCACTTCGCCAAGATACACGATGGGGTTTATTATTTAGCCGAGAAGGCGGACACGACCGTTCACAGCCGTTATCCGGCCATGTATCCCCCAGGGGAGGCGCAGGAAATTCCTTCGTGGCTCGCGTACGACGGCCAAGTATGATAGACAGTAAATATGGGTTTCGTTAAAGTGAGATTTTAAATCGTACCACGTTCATAAATACGCAGCAGCACGCGAGACTTCTCGCGAAGTACGCATACTGTATCGTAAATGTAATTACATACGTCCAACGAATTAATTATACAGGCGTACGTGCGACCTAATGACATTAACATGTCCCACTGTAGTTAAAGAAAAACAAAGATACGGATTCAGGAGCATTATGAGTTATGATTGTAATTCGTAAAGCGTTACCGATATTCGTTCGCAATTGCGTTTCTAGAGACTCATGTTCAAGGCGTTTTTCCGAGAAACCGTGCAGGACAGGTGGAAAATAACCTATCAAATCCGCTTGGTGAAAATCAGTTTCTTCCTGGAGGATGGAACGATGAAAATCGTGGAGCCGGCAGTGGACAATAGTGGACTTGAGCAAGGTTCAAGGGTGCATCTCTTTCTTCTGTCATTTTTTTTCTCGGCCCTTCTCGTCTAACGACAAGATGCTTCCACGTTAGACTTTCCATCGCGCGATTGAATCTTTATACTTGTGTATACCTCGCGTCTTTTCTCCCACTGAAACTGATCTACACGTGAACGGAGAGAGAGATGAATATTTATCAATTGTTTTAATGTAACGCAATATACATTGTGTGTATAATGGTCGTGATAATTTCCTTTCTTATGCGAAGGGGTCTTGGTCAAACGTCAAAGAATACCAGTGCCCGATCCGGTGAAGTACAGATACTACGACATACTCGATTTGAACGTCGGCAAGGAGCCCGAGATCTACGGACGTGTGTACAAAATCGTAGACTGCGATAAATTCACGAGGCAATTCCTCAATCGCATGGGAATTCCGGTGCCCGATCCCGTTGATCTACCGAAGGACCCGAGTTCTGAGACTCAGAAAGTCGTGAGTGGCGGATCTAAAACGCTCGGATACTATTAGTGCCGGGTCTGCAATATGTGAAGCGAGTCTCTGGCCTTTTGCTCCAAGCGATAAAACGTAACGTAATTTCTGACAAAAGGCGTTTCCCGCGCTACTGAAAGTCATAATAATTCTTAAATCTTAGGAATCGCGGCATCTTGAAGCGCTGGAAACGCACTTTTCACTAGAAATTACATTAGAACCTTGATGGAAATATTATGCTGGGAATTTTACTGATAATTCTCTCTCAGGGGATTTAATGTTTAAAACAAAAGACTCAAAAACTTATTACACCTATTGTAGACCCGGCTTTAGGAAATTGACTCGTTCATATCACCGATGCTTAGAAACAATTCATTTCTGTCAAATTTATATTTTTATACCGCTTGCTTGCACACATCATGTTCGCGCAGGAGTCTTTTCCGAGGCAACCCAGTCGCAGGACGGACACCCTCGGTAGCTTCTTGAAGTACGACAAACAAGTGCTGCGATTTTACGGTTATTGGGATGACACCGAGAACTTATACGGGATTGTCCACGATCTCGAGCTGCATTATTATCTCGCCGATAATACGATGGATATCAAAGAGAACGTGGAGCAGAACACGGGCCGTGACTCGGGGCCCATGTTCGTTAAGAGGATGAAAATACCGAAAGTACGATATCGCTTCTATCCATACCACAAATGAATGAATGAATTAAATATTACCGCAAATTTAGATGCGACAGCATCGAATATTCTGTGTTACGAATATATTTTTCGAAATTTACATATATTTTATCAATCCCAGTTTTTCACCGAGCTGCAGCCAATCGGCGCGGAGGATCCCTTCACGGTTCTGAACGTTTTGAGCGAAAATAGGATGCGAAGCTATTACATACCCGATCCTTTGAACACCGGCAAGGTGTCGGTCGACTGTTACAGGGATAACGATTTGTGCATCGGGGCGCAGATCGACGTTTTCGGCAGAAGGATCGTCATTACCGATATGGACCCCTTCACGAAGGAATATTATCGGTGAACTTACCGAAATCTGGTGTCTTTACGAAAGCGCTTTCGTCAAGATTTGATTAAACGTATATCTCGGCTCTTTATTTTGTCCTCAGGACGATGTACGGTTTGGAAGATTTTACGCCTTTACCGCAACCTGGGAGGGACCAGCTGGGCCAGCAGGTGGAAAGATACATACCGCCGTACAACGGCTTCGGGTCCTACGAGGACTCCCTCGGAAATTGCTTCATGATGATTCCGAAACCACCCAAGCCGGACTTCGTCAAGTTTATGCGCCACGACAGGTAAGACGGATCAAAAGTACTTGGCCTTCTCGCTCGATTTCACTTATTCTTCTATTACTCTACAGACAAGGGTTCAACAGCCACGTATTGAGATTCCGGGCTAGGATGATATCGAAAATCCCGGCTAACGAAGAGAGGCAATTCATCATAAGGGTGTTCCTCATGGACGACACGATATCCATTTTCGAGTTGGCGAAACGAAACTCAGGTTTGCTTATGATATCCTTCAAGTTAGACGATCTATGAAAGACTCGTTGCGAATTTCAACGTTAAAGACGGGAAAATAAACGCTAATCTTTTAAGCTTTTATGACCGAATCGAACATCAATAAATGCCTGATGAGGAAATTATGGACAAAATATTAGGGATGATGTGTCAGAATTGTGCGGAACTAGATTGTTTCATCCGTAGGCTTCCTAAGGTCCCCATTTAAAAAGCGGATGCCGGTAAAGCTGCCGGGTCAGGATGTCTTCACGAGCAAGAAACCGGAGTATTACAGGCCGCAAGATTTTTACGTAGGCGCGCGCGTCAACCTGCTTAACTTCCTCTTCAAAATCACGTCCGCGGATATTTACGCCCTTCGTTACATGGAATTACACTGCGACAAGGTTCGTTCGAAAGGCGCACTCGCATTTTCTACGCACGCGCACACGCATAGATCAATCGAAAAATTAACCCGAATAAAAATTCTCCGCTCGACATTCACAGCGAGATTATTTTCTTGAAGCTCGTATATGAAGTTTATCATACGCGATACGCTGTTAGAAATGAAATCATTTTCTCTTCGTCGTCGCAGTTCCCACGAGCGAACAGGAAGTTGATAATGAAGAAACTTAGGGAGGGTTTACAGCCGGTCTACGACGAATTCATTCAGACGTATGCTCCGCCCAAGGACGAGGCGGAGGATAACATTCAGGTGGTGGAATACGACAGGTTTAAGTACGTATAAAGTATCTTCCACCGTGACCGATTTCGTTTATTTCTCACGATATAAATGTGCACCCCCGTCAGGGAAGCGATAGAACGATTTATGGGTGACGAGATAACGGAACACGAAATGATCACGATCGCACGGTATTACTCGTCTCACGAGAAAATAGAACACCGGACGCGCGAATACGTGAGGTGAGCGAGCTTTTTCCTCTCCGCTGAGATGAATGGCAGATGAATTTTTTACGAACGGTAAAAGAGTGCGAAATAAAATGAAAATAAAGTGCGCGTTCTTCGTCGGTCGCGTAGAAATTTGCTGCACACGGAACTGGAGCGATTTCTGTGGAACAATCTCGATCGCTTGCAAGAGGATCTGCATCACTGGGACAGAAACAGAACGGGATACTTGCCGCGCGAATCCTTGTATACGATCCTGCGCGGCTGCAGGATCCCCGTCGACGTGGAGTTACTGAATTCAATGCTGGACCAGTAAGTTCGGGCGAATTCGCTCATCTAAAGATCCGATCGGATCGATCGAATCGCGGATATGCGTGCATTTTGACGTGACATCGCGACGATTCTCATCAGTTTGCGCAAAGCTGAGGACGGCAAGCTCGATTACAACGACCTGCTGCAATTCATGAACCCGAAGATCGACCCTCTACCACTAATCGTGCCTGTAAATATAAAGGTACATATATATGTCGATCTATCGAATTTATTACTATATTCACCGTTATAATCCAATATCGATGAAAGTTGCGAAAAATTATCAATTACATTTCTCGAATTAAGAAAACAATGTAAATCTTCATGCCACACCTAAATGGAAAGATCGCCCCATATTCGATTTTTGTCCCCATCCGATTCGCCGATTTTACACGGCGGCCATACCGACAGACGATTTGCTTTTCTCAGACGGCGCTCTGGTGGGCATCCGAGAAAGAGCCGGATTGCGGCGCTGGAATAAACTGGAACGAATTCGTGAAGGACCTGGACATAGGGGCAGAGGGGAACGCGACCGAGCGGGTGGGCGGAGAGGCGGAGGTGAAGCGGCTCGCGCCGAAGGAAAATTGAATGTATTCAGCGGCCGGCGCGAACGTACCGCAATTCCCGCGGCGTCTAATCATTTCCTCATGGTAATTATAAGTTGTACCCGCGTTAATATCCCGGATTCGCCGCGGATACTTTATACGCGACAGCGGAGCTTATCGTTATCGGCTTTGCGGGCAGCCCTCGGCGGCAACGAAGCGATGCTCGCCGCGCGCGCGTCGTACGCGCCGAGCAGCGCCTTAAAAAAAAAAAAAGAAAAAAAACCGAGTTTCGAGCAGGCTTCCGAGAGAGAAGCGCGTGTAAATCTCGCCTTCGGTAAGATAGCCGGGCGATAAATTTGCCGAATCGCGCCTGTAAGATTATTTATCGGCGATGAATTCGCGACATTCTCTGATTCGCGTCGCGCGCGGCGCGTTGAATTATTCATACGCGCGCGCGAGGAACTTCTCTTTCGAAATTAAGCCTTGCGTCCGAACAGGCGCGCGAAACAGGCAGGATTAAATTGTAAATCGCGATCGTGGTGATCGCGATGATTTGATCGCCCGGCGGGATCGGGGAAACTGTCGAGCTGGGCCTGCCATTTCTAAGCCGATGCGTGTATTTGCAGAATGTAACGTTACATCTCCCTCTCTCCCTCTCTCTCTCTCTCTCTCCCTCTCATACACACACACATATCCACGCATATTCTCTGAAAGTCCGGCATTTTATGTACATCGCTCTGATCTACGCTTAGAGTAGCGTCGGGGAACGATCCCTTCGCGACGCAATTTACATTAATTCCGCGATTATCGAGAGGAGGCGAAATGGATTACCGTCGTCACGGCTTCGCCACGTTGACACGCACGCACGCACACACGTTGAATAAATAGCAAGTAGCACGATATAAATAATCCCTCTATGTACGTACTGCCGCTTATAGTTATATCTTGTGTATTCTCGACACACACACACACGTACACACACATATACACGCACATTCATAAGGTAAATAATTTATATCGTCTAAATAATTAGCCTCGCGCGCTCTCGCGTCCGCGCGCGAAGCGTCGAATTTCTCGCCGAGTTTTCCGCCGAGTTTTCCCGGACCTCCGCCGCGCGGAGACGCGCGATTCACGCGTTAAGATCGCTCCAGCCCCCGTCGGCCCCGCGTACCAATCAATTGCACTCGTACGTCTTCACGATCCTCCGGCACGTCTTGCACTTCACGTAGCAGCAGCTGAAATATTTGCAGTCGCACCGCTCCAGGATCTCCTCGGTCCTGGTGACGTGTCCTCGGCCGCAGCACAGGTACTCGCAGCCCTCGTAGCCGGAACTGCTGCCGTTGCATTGCCTGCGAATTTGGTTTTTCCTCGTTTTCACCACTCGTAGTCTCTCATTGCGACGTTTCAAAATGATATCATTTATATTAACTCTCTCAGGGAGGGAAGGCGGAGTAGCGGGACGTGAACGGAAAGGTGGGGACATGAGCGACCCAAATATATGAATATGTATTATGTTTGATGAAAACAAAATCAGATCCCGCTCGAATTCTACCAACCGAATAGTGAAACTTCTTCTATCGGCACCGGACGCATTTCCAGCGTCTGATTGATCAACTTGTTTATCACTTACACCATATCGTTCCGATTACGTGATCGAGACTACTGGATATTACGGGTTGCACGTTAAGTTTCATACGCGCCGTAATTGAACCGCGCTATTTCCCCCTGGCTCTATACTAAGGTAAGCCCCGTGTCAGCGTACTCGTAAATAATATTTACCCGCGTTATAGTCCGTAATACGGCTCGCTGGATATTATTTATAAGGAGGGAGAAAGAACGAGATAGAGAGAGAGAGAAAGAGAGGGAAACGGGAGAAGGAGCCACGGAACTATATCATTTTAATAATCTCGTCGAAGCGTTCGTCGCGCGCTTACTTCGTTAAGGCTGCTCGGACTCCATTATTAATCGATTTGCATCATGCCCGTCGTCGATGTCAAGATATATATCGCTTTCCTCGAAAGGAGGAGACTAGACCGCGTGGACTACATCGTCGGTGTCAAGAAAAAAGGATCTCGAGGAGATACCTTTCTGTGTATACCCACACACACGCACGCACACACACACACACGAGAGACGGGCGTCCAAGCAATAAACACTTTGGCCACGCCTACTTTGTATAATTATACGCGGGCTTGTAATTACCGGGTTGTAAGCTGTAAACCGGCGGGGCGAGTCGATGTGTTGCCCCGGTGGAAAGCTGACACCATATATTAGTCCGCAGCGGATAAAATATCGGCGTGTCCGAAACACACGTCGGATTAGCTCGCGAGCGAGCGAGCGTCCGTCTCGGGGACGCGCGTCCTCGAAGCGTCCTCGACGATGTTCCACTCGGTGTGTCCTCTCGGACGAGACGAGAAATCTCTTCGCGCGCACGGAAATGATAAATCTTGGCGGGGCGACGGCGAGAAATCGTGTTTGCTCAAAGAAACCAATATCCGGACTAGATGTACGCCGAGCGTACATCGAGCGCGGAGAGTCGGCTTGTTCCTTAATGAATCAAACATCGCCGATGACTTACTGAGAGTCGGAGACTCGCGAAGATCTCGTTCCGAAGCTATCGTCGTCCGTCATAACGTCCTCGCGTCCTCGGAAGGGAAAGGCTATTTCGTCTCGTTAGTCGAGCCAAGCGCTCGCTTCGACCATCGCCGTCGCCTGACGATCGTAGGATCGTCCCGAAATGAAGAGTCGTCGAGTCGGCGCTAAATATGTGGAAATTGAGACCTGTTGAAAATTTCCCGCAGGTGCTTTCCTTTGGGAAATAGTATGAATATTTTTCCGTCCGGCATAACACGGTGATCAAGGTGATCAAGATCATCTTAAAGAGTGGGACCTGCAGTAGAAATCTGTGCGGATTCTTCTACATATAGGAACTTACATAGGCATCCACATGGGTTTTTACGTAGGGCCTGGATTTTTGGCACGACGTGGGACCCCATCTGGATACTTCCCGTATGGATTTCTTATATGAATTCCTACCTGGGAATTTTTCAACAGGATTCAATTTCTCGATCAATTTTTCGTATGACCCTGAAATGGGTCATTGCGAGCGCATGGAAGCGCGGGAATCACCGCGATACGAAATTTACGCCGTCTCTTGGACGCGCGTCGTCCCTCGCGCGAGACGAAAGCGCGGCGTCTGCGGACAATAAGCAGCAGACGGGCGATTTATGGAGCGGGCGAGAGACGGGACAAAGGATTCACACACCGGATCCGCGCGTGACACTTCCTGCGACTCCGCCGAACGAGTCATCAGCCCTATGGAATGCCGTGGGTGATCTTAATTCAGTCGCGAAGACCCGAGAGGCGTGGATAATCCGGGGACGATGAGTGGAGACCATCTCCTGCGTCGTCGGAAAATCCGTAGCGAATGCAATCACCGTTCGCAAAAAGCCGCCCCTTGTTCCGACGCCGGATGTGAGCTCGCAGCTTTCTTTCGCCCTCGCTCGCTCGATGAATTAGCGAACGCGCCTACGGAGTGGCTCAACGCTCCGCGCGGAAACCGGAAACTGGTCTAATTTCGTCTAGTCGCACCTTCGACTCGCTCTGAACGCGAATGAGGGTCGTTGAAATTTAAACTCTTGACCTGTGTCGGTCCCGTCGATAGAGAGAGAAAGAGAAAGAGGGGGAGGGGGTATAATTTATAAAAATCACGGAGAAAAGTTTTGCTGGAACAGCAAATTGTTAATATGGTTATAGCGAGAAAAATTGCTTACACGGGAAAAATGATTTTACTTCTGCGGCAAAACATCGTTGCGACGGTAATAAAATTTAATTGGCACGACCAAATTACTTCGCTGTCCATACAATGTCCAGCAAGTAGCAATTAATATTTATAATATTGGACAAATCTTTCCGCAGTCCGAACATATTTTTTATGCTTCACTATATTAACAATTTGCTGTAGTAGCAAAATTTCGTTCCCCGTGATGTTCTCCAATTTATCGAGAGTCTTTACAATCGGCGCTCTTCAATCGACGATCGTTAGAAATGGAGGAAGACGCGACGTGGACACGAGCTAACCGCTAAATTCGACCCGGGGAGAACTCGCTACGTGCCAATTAAAGAGGCCATGACTGCGATGGGACGATGCGCGCCGGATCTTTCGCCTCGGGAACCCCGTGGCGCGAGTGCTCTTCAGGAGACCGTAAAGTATCATCGTTAAGAGCGGCTCTTCGGTACGCCGGTAGCGAGCGAGCAGCCGCGCTCGAGAATTCGCGCGAAACCGCAGCGCAGCGAAATTAGCGTTAGCACCTCTCGGACGACGGCGGCGGCGGAAAAAACGGAAACAAGACCGTGAATGGGCAGTCCCGGTAACGGTAACCGAGCGAGCAGTCCGCGCTCGTCGTAAAACAGCGTGTTCATTCGGTTTCGAGAACAGGTTCGGCCGAACGTCGTCTTCGAGCTTCCAGGAGGAGGAGGAGGAGGAGGGACCCGCCCCGTATCTCTCCGGGGAAGTCATCTCTCTCTCTCTCTTTCTTTCCTCATTCTCGCCCCGCGCGTAATTACCGGCGCGGTCACATAAATAAACCGGCTATCCGGCCGTGCCGAGGAGATAACTGAGATCGAAACCGGAGGAGGAATTCGTTGCGTGTGGCTTAGGCATCGCGTCGCCCGGAGACGACGACAAGAAAGAGGCGAAGGATAGGCCAAGTATTTTATTAGCACCTGATAGTGTCGGACGACGCCCTGCGGCCGAGACAGGATGAGAGAAGGAAAGAAAGTTCCACGAGCGAGCGGCCGGCGCGCGGAATCGAAAGCGGAGGGATATCGTGCTTGATTACAAAGCGGGAACGAACGACGGGAAAGAGCGCGGGCCCCGTTGTGGAAACAAATTTACCGGAGCGAAGCGGCGCGCGCCACGGAAGTTTAATCCTAAATTATTAACGTCGTAAGAGGATTAACGGTAATATGTAGAGCGATTGGGATAATGAGAGCAGTGAGTGTGAGAGACGACGAACGAACGGGGTCCTTCGATCGGGAAACGAGCAGTCGGAAAAGTGTCGATAAATCTCAAATGATTAAGAAGAAATCGCTGCTACGAACGAATCACCGTGCGTACGCACGGAGGAATCAATATTGAAATTTCAAACTAACTGCCAGCGATCTCCCATTACGTGGACTAACTATTTTATACGCGACTTGTACATGGAGAGAAATCATTTTGCTGCTGCAGCGAAAAATTGTTTGTTAATTTAATTAACAATTAATTAATTAATTTAACAAGATATATACCCGCGAACGGTTTATAAATCTGAAAAAAATGACTCCGGTGGTGGGAGCAAGTAATTTGCTGCTCTAACGAACGTCTCTATATTGGCTTGATGATAATTTCTTAAAATAATGCATGACGGTGAATGATCGGCGACAATAGCTTTTCGATATCGGTTTCCCTGACAGATCATGAAACGACAAATCATAAAGTGATTCTTCGATCTGTTTCCTTAAAATCTTCAAACAATGAAAGAGCTTTGGTTCTGGTAATTAAGGGATTTTTCTCAGTGATCGTTGCTTTATTCGTCGAGATAAACATAAAATTTGCTGTGCCTAGAAATAATTTTTCTTCGTGCATATTCCATCGAAAGTATTCCTTTTCACAAGGAGCGCCGGCCGAGAGAAATCGAATGGACTCGTTGCTGAAGCGAGATCGTGGATGAGAGCATCGTGATTGTTCTCACCGATCCTTCATGTAGATGTTACTACGAAGAAGAGCTTAATGACGTTTGCAAAAAACCACAAATTGCAGAATGTGACACACACGGAGAGACCCCTTTAGACGGCATTACTTGGAAATAATGATTGTCGGTGCGTTTCGATTGCGAGACTGGAAGACGGGCGGCGGGCGAGAGGCGAAAAAAGAAGCCGCGAGTTAGCAATGACCAGGTGCCTCGTAAAAGCCGCATTATGGCGGTGCTAATGGTTTTTCGTCGCACTTTTACACACCGCGCCGGCCCATAACCGCCGGCAAGTCACAAGCTGGGAAAGTGCGTACGATAAAATCGCGCGCTGCCGCTATTAATGCCGGCGGCGGCGCGTTTTCGCGAGGTTTCGCGCGCTAATGAAATCCTATTACGAAAAATCGCGAGCCGAGAAACGTCCGGCCGCCTGAAAGTCGGCCGGAACTTCGGCCGCCCGTAAATACGCCCGTAAAACCGATCGTTTCGGCTGGAACTTCGGCATCCCCCGAGCGGCCGGATCGCGCTTTTATCGCGAGCTGCGGCAAATTCGCGGCAGAACCTCGAGGGGAAGTTAACGACCTATCGCGAGAATCGCGCAGGACGCAGGATGATGATCACCGTGGGCGAGGAAGAAAGGAGGATCCTCGGCCCGCGGCTACCGAAAAAAGTGGTCGGCCGGCCTGCATTCTTCTTTTCGCCCTTTACGCCCTTCCCTTCGCGCTTTACGAAGCAGCCTTCCCCTCATCGTCTTCGTTCTTTTATTCCCGTTAAGGGACTCGAGAAGAGTCTGAGAGAGAGAGAGAGAGAGAGAGGCAACGTTCGCCGTGAACACGCTAAAATCCTTTCTCTAGCAAAACAGAAACGAACAAAATCCTCTTTTTGCTCATTGATCTATACAGTCGTTAAAGTTATCTGCATTACAACCTCTGAGCACTCTATCAGTTTTTTATTTAATTTGATTTCCGAGCTCTGCGTCGGGCTCCATGAATTTATCTCCGACGTTTCGTGAGCTTAAAGCAGTTCACGTCGCTTCTCATCCTAAAGAAGTGAACTGAAACGTCGGAAAGAAATCCATAAAATACGTGGCGCTGACTCAGAAGTCAAATTAAATATTTATTCGCATCGTCTAAAATATCAGACTCCGTTAATTTTTTGTCCTCGAGAGAAAAAAGATTTCTCGTCCTGGGTCGCGTCTCATCCTGAAGAAGTGAACGGAGAAAAGAAGGAAACACGGAGGAAAAGAAACGTTCACGTCGGAAACAAACATCTACGAAGGACGAAGTGTTGATTCGGAGGCCAAATCGAGAAAGGTTTTACAGTTACTGTGAAGTTCTCCGCGTATTTAGACACGCAAGAAACTCCGTATTTATCCCACGAAACATCGAAGGAGATCGGTCGCTGTTGATCGCGCGAAACAACAGCCGCTCGTAATGACGGTTCTCACCTGCCGATCGTGCCGAGGCTACCCCTCTTCTTGTCCGGCAGACAGTAGTCCGGGCTTTTGGTGGTGTACAGCAGATTGTCGTGGTGATACAGAGGCGGCAGCCTGCCGCCGGGTCGCGGTCTGACCTCAGCCGCGGTGGCGTATCTGCGGAGCAAACGACTACCGGCGGCGGACGGCCCGGTCGCGCCCAGACCGCGCCAGCAGGTACGCACGCTGCAGGATCCCGACACCCCGTGGCACTTGCACTCCAAGGTCAAAGATTGCTCGACCGCCTGTCGAGTCGTCGTACCAAATATTAATTCTAATTGTACGCTGTGCGCTAGCAGTCGTGGGGAAAGTACGCAGAACCTTGCGGTATCGGTTCTTCGAACGGACGAACGGCCGTAATTCTTGCGAGATGCCTCGTTTGGCAATCAGTCGGACAAGAAGCGTCGAACGATAAATTCTGTTCGTCAAATATGAACGGCAATGTGACGATCACTTGCACTTCCATTTTAACACGCGCTGGAAAAAGTGCGACCGTTCAAGTAATATTTACTTAATCCGAGTAAAATGGTTAGCCACAATTTCCCTTGGCACATATTTATTAGAAGTAGACTTTGAATTGACTATACGCATGATATGACACCTCTTTCGTATAAATAGGCATTTATTTGTATGTATCGGAATAATTGAGACAAGTATTAGATTCATTATATTGAGAATGTCGGAATTGAATTTTGTAAAATATCTACTCGACAGAAAAGTCGAAACTTAAAACCAGATTTCTTCGGTGGAAAACAAAATATTATACATAATTCTAGTAAATACTCTCTCAAATTTAGAAATATTTGTCATTTACATTCAACAATTTATTTACAAATTGAAGTATTATCACGTTCAAGTAAATATTTAGTACAAACTGGTAAAATATATTTAAATTGATAAAAATACCACTTGATTTAAGAGACTGAGAAACAGGTAATTGCTTCTACCTGACTCTAGCATTTCTTTCTTCTATACACTAACTGCCAACTACGAATTAACTCGCATAGATTTGTTGAAGAGTTTCTCTGAACAATAAATATGGATATTTTTTAGGAAGTTTTGCCCTAAATAAATAAACATAATTAATTAGCGAAACGTGATGACAACGCGTCAATGAAGAATTGGTAACACTTCCGTTATTTATTGCGAGTCTCACGTCGCAGATATAACTTACCCTCCTGCCCGCCCTGTTGTTATGCATATTGACCGCGTGCATGAACTTGGCGGTCGCGCCGGTACCAGGCGGCGTAGCACCCTGGAGGAACCGCTTCGCCATCCTCGAGGCGGATCTCACGTCATCCCCGCAACCGCCCCACTTGAAGGAGTTCCTCGCGGACAGCGTGTCGAAGGAGACGGACATGGTGGTGAAGGACGAGGGTGAGATGAGCGCCGAGGGTGACGGCGGCTCTCTTCGTGGTGGCGTCGCGCAGGAACAAGCCGCGAGGCTCCCCAGAGCGCATCCCCGTGCAAGTCGCCAAACCGCGGCTGCGGCCGACATCGCGTAGACGAAGGCCTGCTCTCTCGTGCCTGCGATAAACGGAGACGTTGAATCCGGAAATGGGATGGTGCACGTAAAGAGACTAATTTTTTTCCCCCTCTCCCCTATCGAATCGATATCTCTCGAGCGAGAAAAAGAAATTATCCTGTGACCGATGGTAAATTTCTCACCGTTTAAAACAATATTTCAACAACATTCTATCTTGAATAATTTACCTAGAAGGAGATCCGTCTAAACTTTTTCATTTTTGTGAATACCAAATTTGTTTAGTGAATATCAAATTTGCTTAGTTAGATATTAAATTTTTAGCTAGGAAGTAGTTAATGTTTCTTATGATTATCCGTGGAAATTGATCTCGAGATATATTCATGATTGATAAAGGAGATGTTCCGTATTGATTAACCCGTTGCGGTCCGCTATATTCGCAATTTCGTCCCAGCCGGTCCGCACAGATTTCGCCAATCGCTCATCCGACTGGTACCGTTTACTTTAGAAAATATTTATGATGCTACACCGCAGCTCTTATCTTATCTCTTTTAGCGTACGATGAAAACTCTGTCAAGGTCGACTCTGTCGCGTCATAGGACGCGTTGGAACGAAACGCGGTGTCGAGTGTTGCTCGACATAAGACCGCAACGGGTTGAAGCAATATTGGTGAACAAAACCAAAGAAAGTAAGACTTTGGAAAATTATTATGGTTTCAAAATTTTGGAATGAAATCGTTTTTCCCATTTCTGCTGCGGATTTCTTCAGTTTTTCTCCCAAGGGTGTAAAAATTCGTTAAAAACATTTACGTATACTCAGTTAAAACCTGCCGTATTTAGACTGTTTTTTCGTAAAGAAGATAATAAACTAAAAAAATTCGTGGAAAGTTAGGAAGAAACAGTTTTTTTTTTTTTTTCGAAACTTTGAAACTATAAAAGTTATCGTAGATACAACAGTTTTCCTCCAAATTTAATTTTCATCGTATAATTTGCTCGTCGCATCCGATTTATTTTTGATGCTGACAATATCATATCGTATTTCATCGTGTAACGTTCTCTAATTAAAGGCGCGTGTATCTCTGGCTCGTAGGACATCTGCGTACTAAAAATCGCGGTCTTTCTTCCTTCATCGTTGATCGAGATGATTGAAGCAAAGCCGATTATCATGCCGCCGAGAGAACGGAAAATACAGCGGCGAACGTTACGCCGTGTTCGTGGTCGTGCTGTGTTTCCTCATCGGCGCTTCTCGGTTTTCTCATTAACGGAGGATACCTCGATATCTCGGGCGCACTTTTATTTACAATATAATCATCGTGAAACGCGAGCGATTAATTCGACCCGGGGCTGGTCACGGAGATAGGAGGATAAAGGCCGAGAGAAGCCCATGGTTTGTTAATGATCGCTAATTGAGGCGCGCCTGCCGGCAGGCAGGCAGGTCTTCCTATTTACGTCGGAATTCCTCAAAAGATATCCGATACGTTTCCGCAGGACTTTCCATCCTTTCGTATCCCTCCCGTCGTTCCTTCGCGCAATATCACCGGTCATGAAAACTACTACGGACGAAATCAACTCATAATAATCGACGAGACCGAGAGAAAAGGCGCGTCGAGGCGAAGTCTAATTGGTCGAAGGGTCGAAAAATAATCCCTGAATTCACAATATTGATTTGTTTGGAATTTGACGTTTAATATTTAATAGTTAAAGAGATTCACGCGACATATCTCATGTTTAAGGATCAACGTCGTCTCCGAGAATGACGCTAATATTGGAGTCGCAAATTTTTGTAGGGAAATGCGACACTTAACGTCCGACTTATTCTTCGTTTTTTCACAATGTTCCCTTTTTTAGTAAGACCTTATTTATAATTAGTAAGTACCTTAAGGTACACAAGATACAAACTGCCACTAACCTGTGAGCAATTCAGGCGTGTAGTCGGGCGCACGCTCGATGCTGCTGCAGTTCCATCTGCGATGTCGAAACGCCTGTTGACACACCGTCGACGTGTCCTCGGCGGCTTGCACTAAGCTGGACATCAGATCCGGTGTGGCTCTGCAGGCCCTCGCCTGCTTCCTCTCCAATAAACCCGCGCTCTTCGCGCTGGTGCACGCCTCCTTGGTCCACACGTGCATGTCGCCGGCGCGACCGAGGCCGCTGCGCAAAAGATTCCCCGTTTCTATTTTTTCCAAAATCACGCCGAAATTATCTTCCGACGCAGTTATCTTCAAATCAAAGTCCTGGTAATGTGGATAATTACAGATACATGACCCGTCGAAAATACTCGAACAGAGGTGTCTCGCCTTCGCGACTCCGGCTTATCGGCTGACGCGGTGATATCGCGAATTACTTCTCGCGTTTCCCGAATAGATACAAAATCGCAGAATCGACCACAGACGCGACCTTAGGCGCTCACGTAGCGGGAGGGTCCTATTTCTTCCCCCGTCCTCAACGCTCCCGTGACACGCGAACGCGAAATCCCGGTGGTGAGAACAGTCGGTATGCGCGACTCCGATTGCGAGCGATCGCTGTTAGGCCGACAGCCGCGAGCTATCCACCTTCGGCAAAGAGAAAGAGAGAGATAGAGAAGGAGGGAGAGCGAGAAAGCGAGACAGAGAAAGAGCGAGCGGAGCGCGCCTCGGTACAGCCCCGAGCCGTAAATCAGGGGGGTGAATTTCGAAAATTATAGGGCGCGAGGCTGAAAAGGGCTCGCCTCGGCTTAGCGCCGCGGCTTGAATACGCGCGCGCGCGCGCTCCTTTCGCGAGCGAGCGAGCGAGAGCACGCGGGGGATAATAATTACGGACACCTGAAAGTCGGAATGGCCTGTGCACACGGCCGCGTCTAGACGTAACAACCCTGGGAATGGCCGGATCGCCAACCCCGTGTCACGGAGCCTACCCTCGGAATTACCCTATCAAAAGCGCCCGCGGCTCTCTAATTCATTATTACCGCCGTCGCCGCCGTCGTCGTCGTCGCAGGCTCGCTCGCGCGACGCTACTATCCTCCCGATGACATTTCGGAACGCGCGTTACGACCCGACCAGAGAATCTAATTTCCGCGCGGGCGCGACCTTATGAACGAGCGATGCACTTACGACCCGCGGGAGTCGCGCGGCTCCTTCCTCCCCAACGTGCCTCGCGCTCGTTTTTCCGTGAAACTCGTGTCCCTCCTCTCTCTCTCTCTCTCTCTGTTACTCTTATTATCGCCGAACACCGAACTTTTGTCTCGCACTTTCACTATATCTATATTTATGCCGCGTGCGTGGCGTGTATGACATATATGTGTATGTGTATGTGTGTGTCTTAGGCGATTTCAAATTTAAATTGCAGGCCCAAGTTCCCGCGTGACTTTTCACACCGGTACAAAGAGCAGGGCTCCGGCCCCGACCAAGTGATACATTGCGCACGGCGAAAAGGGAAAAGGACGTCCCACGAGAGGATGGCAGTAAAAGATTACGCTTCTTTACGAGGAAATCGCACGGTCGCGCGCGTGCGCCTTCTCCGCACGCACGGCTCATTAAAGCCGCACGCATGAGGGGCGCGAGGTCGGAACGCGCTCGTCGTCGGACCCTTTTTCTCGTTGAAGAGAGAGAGAGAGAGAGGAGGGGGACGAGGCGCGCGAAAACATTTTCTGGAACGGCCTAGAAATTTCCACGGCGCCGTAAGTTTTTACCAACTGTAAATAAATATTCGAGCCGAATTATCAGTTGATTAAAGCGACGGTCCGTGATGATTATTCCGCCGATTGTTCGATATCGGACGCGGGCTAACGGAGGAGTTCGCCCCGGAGCCCTCGCGCGCATAATGCGCCGACAAAATAACAAATGTAGCGGCGCCCGTAGCGCGCGAGGCTCCGAGGGTTGATTATCGGTTTGATATCTTAATTGACCGCGGGAATGCGAGATACGCGGGTTAAACCGGGCCAGCCGGAACAAATTCGACCACCGACGTGGTGGATCTTGTTATATTTGCGCGTGTGAGGTAGGCACATGGTGAAAAGTTTTTGTTAACAACGGTCCATTGAAATTTTGTATTACTTCGACACGGGGAATGTGTTTAATAGGTTAAAAAATGTGTTAAAAGTGTTAAGAAATATACAAATATGTGTGAAAAAGTATACAATTATAGTGTTAAAATAACATACTCACTCTGTCAACATATATATTGACACGCAAAATTTTGTATTGTGTATATATTTATATTGACAAGATAAATGTATCTTAACATTGTATTTGTATATTTTTAACACATATTTGTGCATTTTTTAGCACATTCCTCATATTAAAATAACCTAAAATATCAACGCACCGTCTTTAACATAACATTTTTTACCGTGTACATATAAATCAGAGCGGTGCAGATTACGATATTTATGACATTTAGTGTATTACACATTTTTTCCGGCCTTTACCTGTAATGGAGCACTCGCAGATCAGATTCGTGCCGATTGTAATAATTGAACGATTACCAGATCTCATTAGATCGCAATAAATCGCATTAGATCGCGTGCGATAATAATAACCCAATATCGCGTGCCATTTCGCGTTTATGAGCCTTTTTATTACGAAAATTAAACGCTCGTATATGCGCGAGGAAAAAAAGCACAGGTTGTCATGATGACGATCTTTGTCAGTGCCTCGCGAATGACGTTGTAGCGGATCGAACGTGTAATTATGTAAATGATTCGCCTTAAGTAGGTGGTAGGCGGCGATTACCTTGAAACACCGGCGGTAATATGTTTTACCTCGATAAGACGGCTTTAAATCGCGGCTTTCAGAAGGAAAAAAGGGAAAGAAGAAGAAACCGGTAAAACCGACACGCGTTATAATCAAATCTCTCTATGAAATTTTTACGATTGACAGATACCGTCGTAATTAGAGTGCTTTCTAATGACAACGTATTTTGATTTTCCTCTCCCGGGTGTAGCAAGGGGAGTTAACGACGGACGATGGCCTGGGAGAGATTACGTTTACACGTCGAAAATTAGAAAGCGTAACCGTGCGCGCTTTCGTCGCGCCAGATTCCAATTATGATTTTAAACGCGCTTTAGGCGATGTGTGTTTTAACAGTTTGTTAAAGGTAGAGTTGTCTTGCATTCAAATGAGAAAATATCTTACAGTCGTTCAATACTTATGAGACACTCGACGCGTTCTCGTAGTTTGCGCTATGTAGGGGCGATTTGCGAAATTCGTATTATTTCAGATATTTTTTAAGTGTTTTGTATTATATAGAAAAGACGCACAACGCAGTTCGTTCAAGTTTTCGTCATACTTTTCATTGTTCATTTATTATCGTAGATATATTTACCACTGGATCGCACTATACTCAGAATAATTTCAGAAAAAAATAATGAGGTACGATTTAGATGACTGGTAAGAATCAGGCAATTCTCCCTTATAACAGTTACACGCGATCTTTCCATCTTCCCCTGAGAATTGGATCTCCCGTGAAATTCTCTGCATCCTGAGCTGCGAGATAACCGATCTACAGTTTTAAGATTTCAGAAGGAAAACCCGGTTTTTTCCAATTCTTCGGCGAATTTATCTGATTTCTGTCCCGGAGATGTAAAAGTTCGTTCGGAAAATTTCACGTTTGTGCGGTTAGAACCTGCCACATTTACTTTCCTCCGTGAGAAGAAGATCGGAGAAATCGGGAAAATCCGCGGAAAAATCGGGAAAAACACGGTTCCTTTCCGAAACTTTCAAATATAATTCGATCAGATATCATGCCCGGGACGTACCTGACCTTACAACGTTATTCACATTCAACGTTAAACGCGAGTTCGCTTGATTTCAAGCTCAGTTTTTTTTTATCGCGTGTAACGTTACTTCGGTTCTCGTTAGAACGTCGGATACGGGCAGATGTAACGCTGAATGCACGCCCAGCGGCAGAAAGTATCTCCGATTCTGCTCACGGCACGGCGAGGGCGGCCTCCGGCCGATTTCGAGGCATCTGCCGAGAGGTAGATGCCGGATCTGGCCGGATCCGGAAAGACAATCCATCGTCGTGAGACGCGATATTTAATGAGCAATCGGTACATGCGACAGCCAGTCGGGCCGTCCAGCTGGATGTATGACTGGTTGGGCCACTTATGCGGATAGATACGATTTCAAGTCGCATCGCTAGGCGACTTGCAGCCTCTACGCCGCGCGCAAAGTATCGCCGCGGTAATTTACGAGCCGTTCTCCCAAGACGAATGCGCGACTATTTGCTATCGCGTATTGGATAATTAATTATAGGTGTGCAGCGTGGCGCATCGTCGGTCACGACGCTCCTTGGAGCGATCGGGCGATCTAATTACGATCAATTTCGAGGATCGAGCGCACATGTTAATCGGCACTTGACACACGTGCCGATGACGGAAATTCGTGTTATCAGATATCGCGAGATATCGGAAAATGTCAGCGGCTGATCAGGACAAATGAGACGTGGCCTAAAGCTCAGTCTGCAATTTGCTCTTTATGCTTTGCTTCCTGCTCTCTATCTTTCTTCTGCGAGAACTTCGCTTCTAATTTACTTATGAAAAAGAGAGCAAGAAACAAGACGCAAAGAGCATATTGTAAAGCAAACTTAAAGGCGGCTATACACTGCGTGAGAACGAACAACGAGCGAACAGCTGTGTACGATTTCGGACGGGAAGATTGTCGCGCTTTTCCTCGATGAGTTTCACAACACATCTCCAACGCGTGTTCAATAGGAAAATGTATCCTCCTGAAAGTAAAAAAAAATCATTAAGAAAGAAATTGTTCTATCGGACACGGGTTTCCGTTCCGAAACCAGTTTCAGTCAAATAGGAATATCAAATGATAAAGAAACCTTTCTTTCTGTATGTATTTTCGCAAATTGTGACAATGAAACTTTGCCGTTCGCTGTTCGCTCCTTGTTTAACGTACGCCCGGTTTGAGAGTGAAAACGAGACGAAACTCGTAACACGAGCGAACGCAGCAGCGCGAACGGCGGATCGGCGGGACTAAGAACGAGGCAGTGCGAGTAACAATCGGTGATCTGTCTCGAGCCGATCGCGTGTGATTTATCTGGGAAAAGCACGTCCGGGTTGTAATAAAACGAGGCTCGTTACGCGAAGGATCTCTACGCGAGGCGCTCCGGCGAAGCGGAATGCGAAATGGCAGGGAATAGGAGCGACGCGAAGTGATTTGCGGAGGGCGCCTCGCGGAATGAAAATTGTCCATTGTGGCGCGTGTAATAATTTACAGGATACAATGAGCAACGCAACCACAACGGCAACACGGTGGTTGCTCACGGCGGTCTTCGCGCTTTTTGATTGCCGTTCGCGCACCTCGCGTTCGCCCGCATCGTTTAATAACCACCTTCGTGGGCCGCCGCGGATAGCCCGATCGTTTCTCCTTGTCTATCTATCTATCTATCTATTTATCTATCTCTTATTCTTCATTGGCTACGCATAATATCGTACGCAGCACCCGCCTCGGGATGTCGAGGTGGAATCGCTACCGAGCTCCGTTCTCTCTCCGCGATGCTGCGCCTTTCGTTTCGCTTCTCACGTTGATTTCGAAACGCCGGCTCGTTCCTTTCCGCGCGCGAGCTGCGCCCCCCCCCGCATTATTAAATCATCTCCTATCGAGGAAACGCGTCCCTCCTTATTACTTTTAACAGGATATCGCGCGGACGCGCGTGATAGTCGCGTGGGAAATAATCCTCTCGACGCGCGCGCGTCATCCTTCCGTTTGCGAGGACGCGAAGGATAATCGGCCAACGTGAGAGACGATCGTCGCGTTCGGACGGGACCGCAATGACCCGCCCGTACGTTTACCCCGTTTACGGTGGTAAAGGGAAGTGAGAAACGACCGATGCTCATTCCGTCATACCGGCGTGCGAACCGCGTCGTGAACCGCGTTTTTACGCCCCGGAATCGCAGCGCGCCCGCTCCCGCGACAGGAGGAGGTTCACGGACGTTCGCGCGGCGGGACATTCTTATGAAAATGCACGCCGGTCCCTTCGGCTCCTCGGCGAGAAGAGAGGGGGAGGGAGGAGAAAAAGGAAGGAGAATAATCCGGGAGGAAAAAAGGCCGCGTTTCGAAACGGCCCACGGGCGCGCGCTGCCGTGCTTTCGAAATTCATTTTGACTCGCGCAATCGTAAAGCGTAGTTTTTACGAGACCGATAATAGGCGGGCGCCTACGACCCGGCCCGCTGCCCGTCCGAGAAGACGAGAGAGGGAGAGAGGAAGCGGAGAGCCCGTCGACTCGACCACCCTGAACCCACCCACGAATGCCCGAGCGTGACCAATTCGTACCTTCGCGAGTGTTACCCTTTGCTCGCGATCTTCCACTCTCTCTCCCTCTCTCTTTCTCTCTCTTTTTCACCGAGACGGATTCTCCTTCACGGGGGCGGTGTAAAGATATTTTTAGTGTTATCGATCGTAAGACGACGCCTGCAAATATCGGATATTTGAAACCAGATTAACGCACGTTAATAATTGTTCGAAGATAATTAAGATAAAAGAGAGAGAGAGAGAGAGAGAACGAGGATAATTAGCGATTAACTTAATTTGGTCGGTTACACTTTACCGTATTTCGTCGCGAAACGAGCGAATTAATCACATCGGCGCTCTCTTCACTTTCTTCCCGATGTGATCGGCTAGACGCACTTTGGTCGGGCGATTAATCCGCGACTCGCTCCGCAATTACGTCGATTTGTTTAGCTTAATCTCCTTGACGTCGGGATGTACACCGAGTGACAGATTAACGAGACGCCGTCGAGATCGCGAGTTGCGTGGGACGCGACTACGCAGGTCCCGCACGGTCTCGCGTCGTCGTCGTCGCCGTAATCGCACTCGCGCGATGTAATCCCGTGCTCGCTCGAACGCTCGGCGCGTTAGCGAGAATGCGAATGTGATTTACGAGCGATGCATTGTAAAGATCGCTCCCCGTCGAGGAGAGAGAGAGAGAGAGTGATCTTATAAATAGCGAGCGCGCTAGTGTGATTCAGCGCGCTGACTACTTACGGTCAGCGATCTCGCGCGCACGCGCGTCAAGGGCGCAGCGTAAATTATTATAAATCGATCCTCGGCTTCGATCTCCACGAAGAAACGGCCGGTCCCGCTGAAAGGCTCGCGGATCGCATCGCGAGAATGTTATCTGCGCGACGTCGCCGTCGTCTCGGAGTCATCGAGTCCTGGCGATCCTCCGATCGCCCGGCCCGCCGATGATTGATGAATTCATAAGACGCGATCCGAGATCGGCCGTCCGCTCGTTTTCCGTTTTTTTCTCTTCTCTCTCGCCTTCTTCCTTTTTCACGAGGAGATTAGGGAATCATATCGGGCGTATCGGCCGCACCTCGAGACGCGGCGAGAAGGAGCGGAGCGTCCGAGGAGAAGCAAGTCTCCGCTTATCTATTTATATCCGGCGGCAGCTCGTTCGCTTCTCGTCCGAGTCTCCTGAAATTTTCACAACCACCGCCGACTCAAAAAACGATCGAGCCCTCTCTCACCTCGTCCCTTCCTCCGAGCCGGCTCCGAGACGAGCGTCATTTTTCTTCGTTTCGAAGGATCCGCCGTTTCCGGATGAAGGATCGTAACGCGGCTGGATTGCCGGCCGCGCCTTAATGCAGAAAAATCATCGTTGAACATGTCACCGCTGCCCTGTCGCTGGCGAGTCTCCCGAGACACAGGGGATCGATGGCCGCTTTGTGTTCCCCTCCCCCTCCCTCCTCGGCGACGTAATGAGAACGCGCGATTTCGGACCGCCCGCCCCTTCGATTATCATCCGTCAATGTCGGCCGCGATAATAATTATAAACAAAAGAATCGCCTCGACCCGAGAATCTCTCTCGCTTTTGGGGGGAGAGGGAGAAGGGTGAGTTCTTGGAAAGCGCCGTTTATAAATCACGATTCGCGGGCAACCCCTAATCATCCCCCCCCCCCCCCGGCCACCCATCTGACGAGCTTCGTGCCTCGCGCCTCGTCTTCCTTTCCCGCATTTTCCCTCCTCTCTCGTCGCCTCGCGTTCTCTCCCCCGCTATTTTGGTTTCGCACGCAAAACCACCATCACTCCGCCATTCATCATCCACCGGCCGCGCAGCCTTCTCTCTGTTTCCGCTTTTCTCACCCCCTCCCAGGCTGCCGGCCGGCGATCGTCCCGGTAGGCCTCGTACCCTTCTTTGCCGGCCTCTGAATGATGAAACTCGCCATGCGAATCGCACGGCAATTAACGCGTATACGCAGAGCGACCGGAGGACTCTCCTCGAGTAAGGAGGGTTGCCCGACGATCGGCCCTCTGCTCTGCGGCCTTGAATGTTACGACGGGACGTCTTCGACGGACGAGCTCCGCATGAGAGGAGTCCCGGCGTGAGGGATGATTGATAGAAATCGGCGAGCGATGATGAGGAGCGGCTTGCGAAATGCGCTCTCGGAGCGGAGCGGAGGAAGGCACAGGAGGGAAGCGAATACACCCTTGAGCTCTTGAGTATCGAAAATTCGGGGTGCGCGTTGAAATGAAAACCCCGCGTAATTAGAAGGGACGTGAGTATCGTAAAAAGATAGATGAGAAGGTAGTACTTCGAAATCGAGAAGTCTTCGGCGTGATAAGATACATTACACGGAGAAAATGTAATTTTACGGTGAAAATAGAATTGTTCACTTTTACGTTAACGTGTGCGTAAAATGACGACTGGAGGTGTACATATTTAACACGAAAGACTGGCGATATGTGTTCTGGTGAATTCGAGGCACCCATTCTGCCGTTTTCACCCTTTTCCCATTCAATTTTCCGTTCGTCCCTCCTCAAACGTGTATCTTGGAATTGAAGTGATGATCATTTCCCTTTTACCTCGCTTTCGTATTTACCGAAAAAGTCACGTAAGGTTTTGCGCATCATCCACGCTTCGTAAGGACGGTGGATCTCCGATCTCGAATCGCTATATGTTCATCATTACCTCGTGTACCACCGTTACTTCCCGTACTCTTCGGACTTTTGGGAAAAATATCCGCCATGCGGCGAGTGACTCGAAATAGATTCCATTTAGGAATTAGCACGTCGGATTCAAAGGTACTATGTGACGCACGCTTAAGAGCGTACAACGGAGTTTCGCGGCGCGAAGAAGAGCGCCGGTGGCGAGCTCTCTCTCGCGCGTTCGCTCTGTTTATTTGAAATCTGTCTATTTGCTGCCAAGTCGGAGCTCGCGGGCCGGTCACTTCTGTGGTCCACGATCAATGATAGTCCAGATCTAGAAATTGGCCCGGATCTAAAAATGACCACGACGACGGCTTTTCTTCAGGCGCTCTGTCGCTGCGTCGTGGGGAATCGAGCGAAGGAAAGAGAGAGGAAGAATTCTTTCGGGTATATTGCCCGATGAAGCGACGAAAAAGAAGAAAGCTCCGTCGAAATATTTTGCGAAGAACCGACGTGCTCCCTCTCGACTCTCCTCCGGCTCGAGGAAGTCGTCGTCGATAATTAAAAGCGACGTTTGCGAGAGAGAAATGAGTCGAGCGCGAGATCGGCCGCGAGCTGCGTGGCCTTTCTGAAACCGACGCCGTCGCCGATCTCGTCCGCGATCTCTCTCCTTCCTTCGCGAGAAACGCTATTAGCTGGAATATAATGAGGAGGCGAGGAGCAACGCGCTGTTGCGCTATTTATGCGATATCCATAAAGCAGCCTTCGACGATATCTTCATTCCTCGAGCACGAAATTTACATCGTGCCGCCACCGGATCGTCCTTAAATCACGCCGTGTTCGATCTCTCCTCGATCCGAGAAAACTAACGATCGAGATCGGGAATAAGCCGCGTCTCCCTCGCTTCGCCCGACCCCGAGTGTCCCCCTCTCGGCCGCTAATCTATTTGTTTCTCATTAACGGACCTACATTAATCTTCGAACCCGCTCCACCGCGAGCGAACGTGAGAGCGCGAATGGAACTCGTTATTGCGAGGGTTCCTCGATCATCAAAAAACTTTTCGGATACTTCTATTCTGTTCTTCTTTCTTCCTTTCCCTCTACTCTTTCTCTCTCTCTTTCTCTCTTTCTCTCTCTCTTATTCTCTAGGCACGATGATTGAGGAACGTCCGACTACATCGTGCGCTCACACTTTCAGCTCATATTACAATTACGTAATTACGAGATTGATTGTCCAAAATATTGAGTGTAAAGAAAATTGTAGGTTTTAAAAATGCGATTTTTAATCATCGATTTTAGAAACACCCTTAACGCGAAATGTTCGAAATCTGAATACTTCAGTGGAATATCGAGTATCTTCAATTAGCACGTGTTGAAAGCTCGCCATCAGAAAAAGCTTCACGGAAAAAAAGAATTATATAGTATAATACAACTGAAATTTGGTTACCAGAGCTAGTTTTTAGGAGCTAAAAACTACGTACGGGGACAAAAAATCAGCTAAATCAACTAAACTTCAATTTAATACATGGACAGCTAATTTTTAACCGCGGGGGTTAGTTTTTAGCTGTGGGAGCCTATTCTTCTTTTCTGTATTATTATCGGAGTGAATAAACTCGTCGAAGCATGCGAAATGAAGACGTCGCTTTGCAGCGACGATGGGAGGAATGACGTCGGGACAAACAAAAATGAGGACACGCGTTGTAAGAAATTTCGGCTCGTGCGAAACGAGCATCCAATAAGTGCCTTTCGCACACCGAGAAAAATGTCCGATCATATCCGGTCGGATGATCCAATTAAAAAGTAACAAACGAATATGTCCGATCGAGTCGTGTCTTTATGCGATGCAAATTACACAACGGATGTACGAAAGGCGACTAATTTGCCGATTAGGTCTCATCGGTAATTTTATCGGTAACTTCATCGGATATTTCATCGGATAAAGGTATCGATTGCTTGATTGGATAATAAAAATAACAATCGGACGCATCGTTTGATCGACGTTTATTCGACCGGAAATTCTTCTTCAGTGTACAAAAATCACCGTCCGGAGATTATTCTCCACGCAATAGGACGAGTTTCTCCCCCGCGCCGATCTGACTGACTGATTTCGAACGTGTCCACGAGCGTGTCATAATGCCACGCGGACGCGGATTCTGTCGCGGAGATTTACCGCAACGTCAACGAGTTACGTGAACGCGCGAGACGAAGAAATTATAGGGAGGAGGGAGGGGAGGGGGGATCGTCGCGAGCGCGCGCGATCACCGCGACGGAATCGGACGGTGGTGAAAAGTGGATCGGGGATTACTTACAGCCATTTTATACATCCGCCACCCTGGGCCAACAGTACGAGGAGCAGCAGAAGAAGCCAGACCTTGGCACCGCTTCGCTTCTTAATCCGCATCATTTCCCGTTTCGCATTCTAGAGGGTTAACATCGTCGCGCTCTCTCTCTCTCTCTCTCTCTCTCTCTTTCGTTCGCGGAAGGAAGCCCTCGAAGACGATTTCCCGTCGGCGCGGAAAATCTCCTTCAGAGACCGCCGGCCGTCCGTCGTTGCTGCGTGGATCGCTGCTCCGCGAAGATTCGAGACCTCTTCGTCGCGTCCATCGCGTGCCACCTCGCGCGGTGATCGCGCGATCAAACAGTCCGCTGGATCCCTCCTCTCGCTCGCGAGGAAAACGAAAATCTTTCAGACGGGAATGATTACCTTTATCCTCACGGCGTTTCAACGCGCGAAAAGCGTCGCCATTTGTTACGGGAAATTATTATCTTTATCTTCTCGGCGCGGCCATGAGTGTATGCGTGTACGCTTAGCGCGCCAGCTCCTGCTCGATATTATTATCGTGCGTTATTTCAACGGTCACGCTTCCAATTATTGATCGTGTCTAGCTTTTCCGGGGACATTCCCATCGTGAATTTCTCATTTCCGCCGCGCGATCGGGCTAATCGATAAAGACGGCCGCTCACGGGGAGTCAGTTTTTCGGAGACGAGGTGCCGCCGTCGCAGAGATTGTCTCGCGCGCAATTCTCACCGGGAACTGGGAAGTGTCCTCCTCCTATCGACACGGGTCTCTCGTTAGAATCCAATTACTAACGATTGAAAACGAGAGGAAGCACACCGAGGAAGTCCGCTGGTCTCAATCGGAGCGCGAGCCGCGACTCTCCCGGCAGAGGTGCTTGCGATCGCGCGAATTCGAATGCACCGTGGCGTGCATTGACGGGCCGGGAGCTGCGAATTCGAATTCGAAATGAAGAAGCGCGGATCGCGGTGCGCACGCCGACGGGAATAGATTCGCGGCCGAAAGCCGGCGGCGGGATCGCGACGGGACGGTCGGGACGAGGACGACGTCGGGGCCACACTTGCGAGCCGAATCGCTCGACGATCGATGGATCTCCGCGACTCTCCCGCGATCGGGAAAGCTCCTCCGATCGGCGAGTTTCCGCGTTGAATCCGCGTTCGTGAGCTCTTCGAGGATCTTCCGCGGAATTCACTCCGTTGATCGAAGACGAGAGAGATTATCGTCTTCTGGACGACTCGAGGATTTCTTCCGAGTCCTCCGCGAATTTCCGCGCGATCGGAAACGGAGCTGTCTCTCTCTTTCGCGAGCCGGCTCTGAAAAATTCGACACGCGCACCAGGCACTCTCTCTCTCTCTCTCTCTCTCTGTTTCTCGGGACACTCGCGCGATGATCGCGAAGCGAGCGAAGGAATAGAAGCGGCTCGAGACGCGAGGATCCTGATCAGGATCTGATTTCGGCGTTGCGACTCTTGCCCGTGGCACCGTGCGTCCGGCGCTGCAGGGAGTCTGCGTGCTTACAGGTGTCCGTCGGAGCAGCACTCCCGCAGGATTTGCCAGCCAACGGTGGTGGTGGAGGAGTCCTCCTACTACTTCACTTCCTCCTACTTCGCCTCCTACTTGGCCTCCTCCTGCCTCGATGAACGAGGAGGCCCGCACCCGCGGTGATCGACACGCGGGGATGCCGGTCGGGCGGGCGTCGCGCGACCGAATAAGAGGAGCGATCGCTTGCCGTTAACCCTCTCCCGCTCCCCGAATCGAGAGCCTACAGTTCCTGCAAATCGTATTATTAGACGCAATACTTAATTTTTCATATTTCATCGACTCCCGAGGACCAGCTTTATAACACGGCTCATCCACCGATCGAATTACGTTAAGGAATTATTCTGTAAAAGGTATCTTTTTTTACGACGTCATTTCACTTGGTTGTTACAACGACCTTCGGTATGAACAAGTATGAGTCCGCGCTAGTTGCATTATTCATAATAACGGGAACAGACGTGAGTTTAGTCTTATGTTTGTTCAGTTGAAACTTCAAATTCCTTGATCACCGGCGGAAAAATATTAATATTGTTCGCAAAAATGATGGACGAAACAAGTGATTCGACGTCTCAGAAGGTTGCAGAACTGAAAGCGCTGATTGACACCGGGAATCATTCTAATGGAGTAAACATAAAATTAGTTGCTTTTCTTCTTGTCTTAACTTGTATTCTATTGAAAAGTCAAAATGCGTCTAATAATACGGCCAGGGACAGTATGACGCTCGAAAGAATTGGGGAATCGCTGTTCCAAAGGCCCTTCGTCCAACGGCTACCTAATGGGAACCTGAATTTGGAAGCTGGAAGTTCGAATATACCTCTCTTTTTCTCTTTCTCTCTCTCTCTCTCGGTATAACTAATTTTGGTCATTAGTCGATCTCATTTATGTAAATATGATATCTGAGACCGTCTATTAGAAATATCAGTAACTAAGCCTCTGATATGAATGAACGTAATTATTCTTCGTTGGAGTCCACGATCGATTTCAAACGACCTCGAGAGAATTTGGACTTAATGTTTAATCGCGAGAATAATTAACGTTGAGTTATATGAAGGGTCAGTACACGAAAACCATCTTAGTTCGTGTAACAGAATTGGGACCAGATGATAGCCCAGCGACGAGAAACGATATCTTTGTAATCGTGACCGAAAAAACCTTATATACTTTGCATGCGCTCAGAAAAAGTTGCTTCCGAATTTATCCTGAAATCTCGTCATTGCAAAGAGTATGAATCGCGAAGAAAGTAAAATTCGTCAACGACCGCTGTTTCTTTTTTGTCTGTTTAAAGCGTTACTCGCGTGAAAGTCTCGCGTGACCCTCTCGATATGACCAAGACGAGCCTGACCGCTCACCGGATACGACTTACTTATTACTCGTTCGCGCTAATTAGCATCGCCGACGCGCTGCGTTTTTCTAACGTTCGGTTCTATCGAAAATTATACGCTTCGCGTAACGAAGAATATCCTGAAAGAGAAAAATGAGAAGAAGAGAGTAAGAGAGAGAGAGAGAGAGAGAGATAAAGCGAAAGAGCGAGAGCGAGACCACCTTCGCGGGAATGACTTTAACGAGCAAGCGGTATCTTTGTGATCATTTGTTTTACTACAGGGCGGAGCCAAAACAATTTATCCCTGCCTTTACCATTTAAAGATCGGTGCCATCTCGCTTGATGGAGTTCGACCGACGAGTATCGACCTCGGGTCTTTCCGTATAAAGATCGAATCCTCCTATTAAATCTCTCTTTCTCTATTCGATTCAATGATTATACTTTATTAAGACACGATTTCCTCGATACCTCGGCCTTCTCAGGTGTTCTAAACATTCTTTCGCCGAATTTCATTCACACGAAAATTACACAGCGGTGTAATTCATGTTAAAAGAAGTCAACGGTTCTTTGTCTTGAGTTAGACTCGCCTCGCTGCTGCTTGGCTTCTTCATTTGTATTTCGCATACGTTAATCGACCGACTAATTTTACAACTCTAACTCACGGCTCGTTATAAACATATAAGGGAATCGATAATCCTTCCGCGCGCTTATTCCTTTCCGTCTCTCTCTTTCTCTCTTTCTCTCTCTCTCTCTCTCTCTCTCTCTCTCTTTCTCCGTTCCTAATGCGCGTGTCTTATTATCCCGAGCCGACAAATCATCGGGCGATCAATTAGCGAAAGCAAATTCCGTATTGTATACACTTCAATTAAAAGAAGTCACTGGCCCCTTACCCCGCGCTAATTGCCGCGCCAATTTTGTCCACGGTGCCGATCGTTCGTCTTCCCTCCCGCTTTTCCCCCTGACCGAATGTCGGCCCTTCTTCCGTTGCCCCGTTGCCGTCGATAAATAATCCTCTGTCAGACGTTCATTACGTCGTTAAGTTTCGGCTCGGACTTATTCACCCTCTCAGACTGCCCCGCACACGTGAAATCCGACGGGCGGGGTTCGCCCGCAGCGGTAACCCTGGAAATGCCGCGCGTCGCGTAAAAAAGACGCGCCTTGCAGATGCTCCGTTCTAAAGGGTATCAGCCTCCAATAAAGAACATCAACGTTAGCACGACCGAATAATGTAGAGTGATTTTATTTTCGATCGAGAAAGAAAATAAGAAAGAGAAAGAGAGAGAGAGAGAGAGAGAGAGAGAGAGAGAGAGAGAGTGTGTGTGTTTATGTGTGTATGTATATGCGGGATTTTTTATATGAAAAAGTTAAGACGAGAAAAAGAATCAAGTACTTGTTCGAGAAAGCGGAAGATGTAACGAAAGAGCGTCAAATAATTAAAAATAATTATTTATATCATAGTAATAAATTACACGGAGAAAAATAAATTCCTGGGACCGCAAATTTTATATCGCTGCAGCGAACTCTGTCGGTTATTACATGGATATAATAAAATTATTTGTCAAGAATACTAATCACCATTCGTTGAATTATTTTGCCGAATCTATAAATCATTTTGCTGTAAGAACAAGTTAGTAAATATATGAAAACACTATTTCATCTTTAGAAATTGTCGTGTCTTAAGGGCGAATTCACTCATGTTCGCGCGGGGAAAACAAATTTTGTTAGAACAGCAGTGCCGAGCATTAATTGCTGTTTGTTGGATATGCGGACAATAAGTACGCTTGACAAATCTTTCTGCTGACCAAACGAATTTTTTGCTGTTTAAACAAATTTTTTTTTGCTGTCACTATGTTGACAAACATTTACCGTTCCAGCAAAATTTGTTTCCTCCGTGCCATTTCTATCATTATGGTTCAGATCTGATCGACGATTAATTAATGGAATTGACCGTGGCTCCCACTGATCAGTTTAATTAATTGGCTAATGCAATTGGTCAATTCCGCAGAATTTATTGTCAATTAGATTCAAACTATGATGGCAGAAGCGGACGTCACCCGAATACTTCTTATCCCGGTGACAAAACTGCTTCTGCTTTGATTACGAATGATTCGCTAATTTGGTTACGCTGACTAAATCTTACTGCCGTCGCGACAAATATGGAACAAGAACGATGGCTTCGCTAGCAAATTTATTTCTCCCCGTATTTAATCAACGCATTATATATTTTCTCATCTACAGTTAATTACGGTATAATTAATTTTGACACGAACGTGAATATCTTTCCGCCGGTGCTCCAACTGTGAAATCGGATAATGAACGCCGAACGGTGGGAGCAATCCTGAAAAATCCAAAGACAGATGTTGGCGCGCGCTTTCGCAAGCCTCGGAAACGTGCGGTGCGCGTGAATGCAATGCTGAGCAATTATTGCCGGTGCGATATTGCAAAAGTATTCCGAGAAACGGCGGATTTCTCGCCGCGGGCGATCGTCGCGCGAGAATACCGCGGGAATAGCCGCGCGCGCGCGCGCGAAACAAAAGTAGGAGTATCTTTGTTTATGCGCGGCATAACTAATGGCAACGTTACTTTAACCAACACTCGCGCTTTGCGCAATGCGGTTTACACCTCATTAATTTAAGAACCGTGGACGAGTGAACGCGCAACGCACTCCCGGATCCGCTAAGGAACCCATATTATGCGCGCGCGCGCCATAAATTTCACATTGCTGTGTTTACTGTTATTATAATATTATTTGTATTATTCCAATTATCCTCTCGCGATCTCGCGAGTAACCTCTCTTTCTTTCTCTTTCTCTGCGCTTTTCCTGATTTCATTCCGAACAAACTGCACCCCCTGCGGCCGGGACTGTTTCGCTTCCCGGCTAGGAATATATCGAATCCGCTTATCAAAGCTAAATTGATACGACGGACGGACGTTGGCATATATCTTTTTTTCTGCATATCGGTGTCTGGCAAAGCGCTCAAATAAAATAGGAAGATATATACGCCGATTTCTCGATCGGAATTCACGCGTGTTTTTGCGGTCAAAATGGCACGAGCATTCAACTTCGACTATACATAACACGCGTTATGTTACTTCAACGGTCTCGGTCGTTCTGAAGTTCTGTGAGAAACTATAAACAGCGGGAATTTTTTGCAATAAAAAAAGCCGCACGCGCGCGCGCGCGCGCGAACAATCCCGGTTAAGACGATCAGACACGCGCAATCAGGCGGGTACATAATGAGTTAATAAGGACGAAGGATCCTGGCGCGGCGTCGGTACGCCAGGAATAAACGGGTTAGAAGCGGCTTTATTGGCGGAAAAGTTCGCCGTACGTCGAGAGAGAGAGAGAGAGAAAAGGGAGAGGCGGCTCCTTCGTTCCGGATTATTTCCCGGCATTATTCGCCGAAGAAGAAGACATCGACCATAAAAAGGAGACAAGCAGATCCGGCGACAGCTGCTTCGCTATTAAAAGCGACTTAAACTCCAAACCCTCCCTGCGATTGTAGAGAACGAAGCTAGCCCCTCTCCTCCAGACCCCTCTCTCCTCTCTCCGTCGCTCATCCTCCTCCTCCCTCTGTCACTCGTTCTCCCGTTCTTCCCTTTCGCTTCTTCTTGCCGCTCCTCCTCTCCTCTCCTCGCCTCTCCTTGTCTCGTCGTCGAGCATCCATCCCCCCTTCCCCTCCCCCCCTCTCTCTCCCGTGATTACGCACAAACAAAGCGTAAAGCCACGTACGCGGCCACTTCTTGCCCGCAAATAAGCGAATTGCTAAATGAGCCGTAAAGCCGAGCCTCGGGGGATGTAAAAGAAGAAAGCGGAGGAAGAACGCGCGCGAGCCCCCCC